AAAAGTTTATGAACCACAATGCACATTAGGCTAAAGTTCATTGACTATTTACATCATTATCCCAAGAAACTAGTGAAGCAACGAAGCAAGCAGTTTGGAAATAGCAAAATTAATTGTAAAAAAATAGTTCTCTCCTAGTAAATTAAGAATGCCAGAAAAATAATCAAGTAAATACTCTCTTCTACCTAAATGTGGATGATTTTGTTGCTTCATATGTTCATCTTCGAGGCCCATTTTTCAAGTATCCCTTGCTTCTCGTATCTTGTTATTGATGTTAGCTAACAATATAACCTAGAGGGTAAAAATATGTGATTTCAAGAAACTTGACAAATAGTACAGAATTAAAGGTGTCAAGTTTGATATAAGCTTTAATCGGGTGAAATAGAGAGTTGATTTAAGCACAAACCGGTTATATCAAGCAATGCAGTACATTGCTTCAATCAAGCAGTAATTGAGTAGGAGCAAAGAGATAGTAAACAATGCCATTAATCTTTTAGTGGTTCGGCTTAATGTAAGCCTATGTTCACTCTCCCAGAATAACAGTTTACCGGCTGGATTCCACTATAAATCTTCTTGAAATTATAGTAGAATGTGTTGCTTATATTTAAGTAGTGCTGCTTATACTTAAGTTGATAGATTTCACTATCTCACAGCTAAGCACAAACTATAATATTCCCAACACTTCTAGAAATATTACAATTTGAATGCTCTCGGAAGGCAATGTAAAATGTAAAGCTCTCTCTAAATTTGGATTTTTAAACTCTTGATCGATCTCTCTTCGACACCTTGGTCTTCTTTTATATTCCTCAGCATCCAATCTACAATCTTCAAGAGGATAAATCTCCAAACTAGCCAATAGACAATTTTTTAGAAGATCAATTAGCTGTTGAAGATAAGCAATCGGAATTCTCGTTGATTTGGTCGCTTATACAATCAAATTTTGGTAACTAGAAATAGAGTGGTTCAACTATGGAAAGTATCTTACCTTTGGGATGATTGTCAATTAATCAAGATATCTTGCGTGATTGAATATTTCGCATAAATAATCTTGGTCAATCAAAATCTTTTAAATAAGGAATCCATATCTGATCACAATCTGTCAAGCTATGAGATAAAATATCTCAAAATAATAATCTTGAAGTTCGTGGCAAGATTGTTGTCGTAGGTAATTTGAGTGCTCCGCTTATATCAATAGTTCTGGTTATATCCACATTTCCAGTTATTTGATGATATCAGACTTTCGCCAGGTTTCTACTTATATCTAGCTTCAGCAGTATTCTGCTTATATCCAGTTCTTGCAGTACTCTACTGATATCGAGCTTACACAGGCTCTTGCTGATATCCAGCTCGGTTATATCAAACTTTTTGGCTATATCCAACTACTTCCCATTAGGCACGTCGAGTATGATAGTGATGTAGATCCTGTAGATTATTCACCTTGTCTAGTACTTTCAAGTCTCCACGAACTTCCTGTTCTTCATGACTTGTCCATCTTCGTAAAGGTTCATTAGTTTTTGTTACCTCTTACTTCATGCTTCGGATACCTTCGATATAGGCAAAGTACATTAACTAAACTCTAGCTTATGTCTTCTAGTCCTTCCAAGCATATTGGCAATCATGGCTCTACCTCACTCTTCACTCGTCCATGGTACCTCCAAGTTTTACCAAACTCTCGTTCTAGGTCTGTTCACCTATTGCACTTGTTGATCTTGCACTTAAGCCTAAGGTGAGAATAGTGCATTAATTACCCCAAGTGGGTTTATGAGGGTAGTAACAAATCAATTGTTGATCTTGTGATGCACTATTATTGTACCTCCTAAGGTGAGAATAGTGCAAGACTATAATGAAAGAGAACTTGAGCTAAGCTCTTGATGAATTCCATATCCATTATTGGTGGTGTATTAAACTGCAGTATATACTTGATGGAATCACTTATATAAATGTGGAGTATGGCCGCTCTTATAAGAATTTTGGAAAAATATTCAGAACACTTATGAATAAACTAGACACGCGCATAATCTATTAGCGCAAAACCGGTTGAACAAAATTTGTGGGGGTTTAATGTGATTGGTGAAAATGATCACTCATATAAGAAATTCTTGATTCATAGACGTTTCAAACTTCATCAATAATTTCGTGAATTATATTTCTTTTTTTCTAGATATGGTTCATAACCCAAAAGGCACCAGTTCCGATGCATTACATTTAATTGGGTTTAACCCAGCATTTATCTTTCATTTCTTTTCAAAACTTTTTGAAATATGCCGGGATTGTTGAATATTTTTATAGTTTTGAAATATTTGAAGGCCATTATTTTGTTACGGCTTTAATAGAAGTTAGGACAGCCATAAAAGCCATCATTTTGTAACGGCTTTGTAACCTTTGATTTATTTCATTATAAACCCTTCATTATTTTGTAACGGCTTTATAACGATTTTGTAATTGTCATCAATTTAGTAATTACGAATTGATTTGTAACGGTTTCGTAATAGCTCTCTTTTTCGTTTATCTATAAATCTAAATTTCAAGCCACATTCCTTTAAGACTCATCGACTTAAAAGAGAATTTTCTCCTCTCCTTCCATTTCTTTCTTTGCTGAGTTATACATACAATTTAGTTATTCATGTTCCTTATGTTATTATGTGCGAAGTAAAGAAAAAAGTTTGTTATATCTTGGGAGGATAAGCTTTAGGGCCTATCGCTCCGAATTTCGTACTTCGAGAAGCAAAATTATTCTTAAGAATAGTGCTAGCCTAGACAATTGATCTTATTTTCATCTTCTTCAACAATTTTCTAATTGGCGGTGATATGAAACCAGCCCTCATCCTCGCGACCCTATATCTAAGTGAAATACACTACCAATGACATGACAGGCCTAAATTTTCGAGCTGAACTTCTAAACCGAAGGAATCCTGATGTTACGATTTCTCAGATGTTTTGTCCTTAGGTGCCACCAAACTTCAGGGCATTGAATATTTCAGAAAGGTGAGACTTTATGGGCTTACAAACGACAGATCATGCACAAATAGCTAGGACCATTAGGTAGGGGTGAGCATTGGTCCCAGGTTGATCCTGGACCGACCCTGGACTGCCCAACCGGGCCGATCCTAGTCCAGTTCCAAGGGGGACTAGGTCGGTCCTTGGTCCTAGGACCCCTGTATCCTGCACAGTGTGGGTTGGTCCCCGATCCTGGGAGTTTAGGATTGGTCCGGGTTGGACCAACCCTGAATAATATAATATATATTAGATTTTATATATTATATGTTTTTGTCTACTATAAATCCTAACGCCTCCTCCTCTGTTCTCGTCTTTCTTATGCAGCTCAATTTGCCGCATAAATTAGAAAGTAGAAAGAAACCGAGCCTTAATTCAAAAAAAAATAAATAGAAACCCTCTTCGCTCGCCCGCCTCAGCCTCAGCCTCAGCCTCTCGCCTTGCTCGCCTCGCCTGTTTTTTTTTTTTTAAGTATGAACAAGATATGAAGTTGTATAATTAATCACTTCTATTACGTATTTTGAACTTCTTATGGTTTAATTGAATTTCACGTGTTTATTTTCATGATTTGTTACTTTTAGCAAGTATAAAATTTATGTTGTAAACTTATATTATATTTATGTTTATTATATACTGGTATTCATAGTTTGATTGCTCGATGTCGCATTATGGATATGTAATTTGAAATAGTATGTTCGTCCTTTCAAGAAATACAAAAAATGAAATAAAAAAAATAATCGGTTGGTCCCGGGTTAACTCTGGAACCGGACCGGACCCATAGAGTTGGTCCGGCCCTCGGTCTAGGCTCAACAAGGTCGGTCCTCAGTCCCAAAAATTGAGGACTAACACTGTGCGAGTTGGTCATTGGGTTAGGTGTTGGAACGGCCCAACCAGGACCATGCTCACCCCTACCATTAGGAGTGCTAAAAACCGTGTGACAAGTTAAAAATTAACAGAGATTGATGAGGAAGCTTTTGATCTCTATACTGAGAGAAGGATATTATCAGTTGGCTGTCCTGGCATAATGTTGCAGAAAAAGTGATTGCAGCATCGTGAAAACGACAAGAAAGTGCATGAAGTACGAAATATCTACACCGATCGACTAGTAAAAAATACTTTTGTCCGGGGAACCACATATGGTGTAATACGTAGTTCAGTTCTGCAGTAATGCTCATTCTTCCATACCTTAGCTGTGCCAAAAATGAGGACTAATACTCTGATTTCCCTCAAGAAATTTAAAATCCAGGTTTCTTTGTTAGCTACAGAAGTTTAGACAACGAGCAAATGTAAAAAATACGCAACTATGCATGAAGTAAACTAAAAGGCAGGCCTATTTTGAGTCAGAAATGTAACTCTTGAGAACCACTTATTGCCATATTTTTCGAAGAATGTCAACTTAACGTATAACAACGCAACCTTTTTGGAAAAATTTCCACCTCATACAAAGTTTAGCCAGTGTTTCATTGGAGGAATCTAATAACAGAATGCAACAGCGAAAGTCTATCAATATTGAAACCTGCCAATTTATCCATTGGCCTGAGAAAGCCATGTCTCCATGATTGTTAAACACTATGCAACCAGATCCAACCAATACAGTCATCAGACTAGAGCATAGCTGGATCTGATTTATTACACGTCTCAGAAAACATGCTTTAAACAATAGAATGATTATTGCAGATACTTCGACCTTACAGTTTGTCATGTTCGTTATCTACAGCAACAACAATTCTCCCCTCTCCTCTTTAGAAAGGCATGTATTGGATCCCTGGAAATGAACCAAACTGTTTCATACTCTTTCAAACCTTTTTCATGTCAGTTTGAGCATGTTTTCTAGTGAAGCGGATCTCTGTTGAAACCAGAAACGCAATATAAGAAGAGATTATTCAGACCCTGAAAAGTAGAACTTTCTTAGTTCTGTTACCAATATCCAGAAACACATGAACAATGATCACAGGAGCCATTAGACAAGCAACCAACTGTTAATGAAATAGAAAGGCTTGGAAATAATACAAAAGGCTTCGAAGCTCTTAATCATGCAAGTCAATTACTTAGCTAAAAGAGTCGCCCTGTTCAAGCAACAAAGGACCCAGATCTGATGACGTTAAACATCTCAGATCTCTTTTGATTTTGGAAAGTAAGGACTCTGGTTACCAGGAAGGAAACAAGTGACAATTCCAGTCTACATTAAGGGCTTTGTGATTCAAGAATTTACACTATCTGTTACAAGCAGTAAAACTCCAAGCTGATCATTGCTATCTCGGGCCAGAAACTTGCTGAGAAGACATGTAAGAGACCGCTCTATAGGAACCGCCAGCCGCGCTTGTAAGAAAAGCGTTCGCTTGAGAATATAAGATTGCATTGTTTGATCCGTTTTCTTCTCCTATCACGGAAGCCTCAGTAAACCGACGCCCATAGAAGCGCAAAAAGTTCAGGGATTCTACTCTAGGCTGACAAAATGGGATCCGCCCTTCAAGCATTCCAACTACAGCTACCATGTTTGGCCGTAATGATGGTTCCTCATGTGCACAACACAGAGCAACTCGTATCATTCTCTCAACCTCCTGACTTGTCACCCGGTTCTCTAGTCTTGGATCAGCAAGTTCCAAGTACTTTCCTTGTTCGTGCATCTCTAAGGCAAACAGAGGAAAATACACGAGTCCCGACCCTGATGATGAGGATGAGTGCGAACCACTGCTATCATCCTCCAAACTGTGACTTTGAGTCCGCAATAAGCAGTTTTTTCTGCCACTCACAAGTTCAAGTAACACCATCCCAAAACTATAAACATCTGTTTTTTCAGAAATCGCAGAGTTTGTCAGCCATTCAGGTGCAAGGTAGCCACGAGTGCCTCTCATTGTAGTGAAGAGGCTGGACTGCTCCGGGCTCAGAAGCTTTGAAAGTCCAAAATCGGAGATCTTTGCCTGGAATTGATCGTGCAGAAGAATGTTTTCCGGTTTAATATCACAATGAATAATTTTCTGTTCACAACCGCTGTGCAAGTATGCAAGGCCACGTGCTGTTCCTAGTGCAATATTAAACCTCTCTTGCCATTCCAAAACAGGTCCAGTGCCAAAGAGGATCCTATCCAGTGACCCACGATTCATATACTCATAAACCAACAAGCGAGCTCTACCTTGGGCACAAAAACCTTTCAGTTTAACCAAATTGACATGATGGATATTTCCAATTACAGCAATTTCAGTGCAGAAGTCTCTTTTCCCTTGGATCCCTAAGTTGGTAATCTTCTTTACAGCAACGACTGTTTTATCAGGAAGTATACCTTTATATACAGCACCAAACCCACCTGACCCTATATGGGTCTTAAAGTTATCTGTAGCAACTTCTAACTCTTTATAATCAAACCTTCTAGGTAAGCCAGGGATGTGGAAGGCATCAAGCTCTTCCGAGGAAGGAGAGTTAGGTTGGCCTAATTTTACCTCCCCTAACTTTGAGATTCTCCGTCTTCTCAACCAGACAAATCCTATTGCAATTAGGCCACAACATGCGGCGGCAGGTAACAGTATAAGAGCAACCACAGGAAGCTTTTGACTTTGGTCACCGGAATTGTTGTTACCATTAAAGTTAGTAGAAGCGGCGGCCACAACTTTGATGTATCCCAACAGATCATTTTCACTGTTAGTGCTCAATATAACGGACCCCAACTTATTTTCAATCTTATAACAAGAACCAGATGAATTTTCATAAAATACTCCAAAGCAAGAACAATCACCTGAGCAGACTTCTTGACAGACAGACAGATTCAACCCATAGTTCAGTTGCTGAGAGAAATCATTGGAGAAGTAGTCGTAGCCATATCCGATGGTCAAATATGAGGCAGCAGACGAATTCACTTGACTACCATTATTTGATGAGTTACAGGCTGAAAATAATGCAAAGGAACCATCAATTGGCGCACAAGTATTAGAATTCGGAGAACTCAGATGGAAATTAGAGGGACATGAACATGAAGGAGTATTAGAAGCGGAGTTGTCCGAACACTGCCCAATTCTGCCGCAGACAAACGGGAGTCGACAACTATCAGATGGCCCCAGAAACTCCCGGTTCCATTTCCCATTGGAAAAGCTACTGACTGTGAACTTGCCGGAGGCATCCAACTTGGCAATTTGGAAATCAGCAGATACCAAGGCCACCTGAATAACCACTGAACCATTGCTACCAAACAGATACAGGCCTGTCCTGTTTATGGTCATAAACTCAACCATGTAACCTGAAACGGTGTACGCCCTGGTATCCATTGACAATTTCCAATATGTTTGTCCATTCCACTGCAATATAGCATCTGAAGAAGTAAGTCCAAGCTGGTAGTCGCCAGTTGACAAGTCAGAAGCTGATACTGCACTGAAAAGTGACGTTCCTACAGGCAAGTGTTGCCCGATCACAATTGTATCTGTTGGATTATGAAAACTTTCCCACAACGAAACGTTGGCTCGATCAACTAGGACCAAATTACCCATCTCACTTAGCAACAAAGCATTTACAGATGACTGATTTGGCAGAGCCGACCATACCTCATTGCCTGTTCCATTAACAATGGTAATCCCCTTGGAAGTAAGATAAATGTTACCGGCTTCAGAGAAAGGCTGATTCCGATTAGCAGACCAGATCATGGCGTTAGACGCTACATGAACGACACAAAGGTAGAAGTTGATTTGTTGAGCATCAGGATTGCAAATGGCAGCTTTATATGTTCCGTTACGAGATAACAGAAACGCACCGGAGGCGTCTATGAACTGAAGGTATGAACCAGTGAAATTCGGGTATATGAGTTCTGAGAAAGGAATCGCTGAGACGAGAGTGCAAGAGAAGAAAATTGTAGGCAAGACGAAGAGGAATCCCATGAGGAGAGCGGATGGAGCAGCAGATGCAAAGAACATGATAAAAAGTTGGATGCAAGGGGTTATGGGAAGGGAGGAACTGCAATACTCTGGTTTTGTCCAGTCTTTTCTTTGGCTCTGATTCTATGGATGCGTTGACCACTCTCTTTCTCTCTCTTTCTTGACTGCGACAGGCAGCCTAGAGTGTGAAATGGCTGCATCACTTATGATATCTCTGTGGTAGTCAAATCTAAGGAAGAGCTTATCCATTGTAAAGATCATCAGCATTTCACGCATTGACGCCAACTGGAAACTTTTAAATATTATTTTTCATAGTTTTATCTCGCTCACAAGTTCTTCTCCACAGTTACAAGGTCTCCTCCCATCCCAAGTTCATCACCTTCTAAGTTAGAGAACCAGCCACCACCACAATAACAATTATTTATCAGCGCAACTGCCATCCGGCCAGACTCGCAGAATGCTTTTCTTTACCCAACAATTATTGAAGCAGCATGTCTGACCACAACTTCAGGTTCAGGTTCCGCTCACTCACTGTCATTTTCTTTCTCCACCAATTTATTAATTCAATGGGCAAGAGGGCGCTCTCGCACGTCCACCCCTCGATTTAAAACCGCCCAACAAAAGCGAATCATACAATACCCAGATGATACCCAACACGGAACATGCTTCGTTCGGGTAAAACGTCAAACAGTTGGTGTGCGCAGATAATTCAGCCAACTAGACAACCCCCCCCCCCCCCCCCCCCCCAAACCTGCTGAGTGATGGCGCTCGGAGAATTGCCAGTCCTTGCACTCGACAATTGCTTGTCACACATGACCCCAATGAAGCAATCAAATCGTGCCACCGCTAGGGGGGGAAACCAGTCGAGGCCACGCCATTTCGCGAGGCGGAGGCAGAGTAGATCAGAAGGAAGGCAAATGGGATTGCTATTTCAATGACGGAGGAGAGAGTGAAAGGTGCGTGCGTGACTGGGTGGCGGCGTTGCTTCGGCATGGGAAAGATGATAGCTTTGGGGAGAGAGAGTTGTGGGCGGTGGCAGCGGCGGCGGCGGCCGTGTCTCGGCGTCGCCGTGTTTCGGTTGAAAACGGCGAGGATGGCAGTTAAAAGTGGCCGTTGGAAATAAAAGTTTAGGAGAGGAGCGGGTTTTTATTTTTCCTTTCTGAATTAGAAAATATAATGACATGAAAATTATTTTTAACCACTTATATCGATCGTTATCTCCTAAGTTTTGCCTGTGTCCAACTTTTGTCTTCTGATACCACTATCTTACTGTCGAATATCACTTAATTTGCGAAAAATATTTGTTATTTCTTTCACAAAAAAACGTGTAATTTACCAATCGCATTAATTGATATCTTACAATATGGTATCCTACACCTAACTTAGGTTAGACATATTTTATTTGTAAATTAGCCGACGGATGTAAATAGGCTAGAAAAAGTATAAATAAATATGAGGTCATATATCATTTAACTTTTTCGTTTAAGTAATTGAACGCTTAGAGTTTAGTATCCTATGAGGCTTTATACTTATCATTCTAATTTTGATTTACTTTTTTATCCAACTTATTTATTGGCATAAAAGGCAAAACCAACAGCTCATTTAGTAAAAAAAACATAATCTGCTTTCGCTTTACTTATACTCGTGCGACTTTAGTCCCTGCATGTCAATAATAGAGTTCTTGTTGAATTAGCGAGTATTCGATTCTTTACATCGCAAAGCCCATACATTCTCATAATTGCTCTAATCCATTCACATATTGACTCGTGTTTAAGCTACCCAATCAACTTCCCCGTCGTAAAAAGGACGGGAAAGAAAAAAAACCAATGCCGAAAAAATTGACGATCTCCTTACTTATTAATTCTAACTTTATGCGAACAAAAGTCACCTCTGGAAAGCTACACAGCCTCCACCAAACAAAAATCTCATTTGCCGAAAGCTAAAAGGCTCGCCAGTGCCCACTTGCACACAAGGTCAATCGATCGAGCATCGAGCCTACTACTTTCAAAACAAAATTGTACGTTAAAAAAAAAACGTGATCATCATCGCTTTTTATCCCTATTTCCACTTACCCTTTTTCATCCATAAATGATCGCCAAAAAGTCCATTCAAAGCAAAGTTTAAAATAAAAAAAAAAAAAAAAAAAAAAAGCAGCCAAATTACACGTGTCTGCCAGCGAGTTGACTTGCAACAGCAACAAAATTAAAACTCGATTAATCAATTTCGCCCTCGATTGTGGTCGCCCGCAAACCAATCGCTTGAGATTCCAAGAGATATTTGGCAAAGGCATGAATTGCGCACGTCGCCATGTTGCTCCTGACCATATTCATAGTCATGCGTATTTCCCAAGTCCTCCACATACAATGCACCGTCGTGGCCTCACGTTTCGGGTCCATATAAAAACATAAACTGCAAACCCCAAAAAGGAAAAAAGAAAAAAAAAAGGTTAGAGCGACTTGCGTGTCATTGAATTTAAAAGTCGGCAATCATTCGGGGGATTTCTGCAATGCGGGCGCCTACAGTGGTTGACCCAATGATCCAACCACTTTTGATCCATACCGCCCAATCGCACGGTCAGGCTTATGCGGCGAAAAATATTTAAATTATTTGGACGAGTTGAATTTTGCAAGTTGCGAAATGATCGTGTCATTAAATTATGAGATTCGAAATATATGTTATCCTCGAGTGATGGCTTGTTCGTGGATCATAAAAGAAGAAAATGTAATTATAATGAAGATTCAGACCTTATTATTAACAAGATAATCATAGGCTTATCGTGAGGGGTTGTAATGCACTTTTGACTAGGGTTACGCTTGCTAAGCCCCACTCGATGAATTCAAACGAGCAATCCCCTTCTCTCCAGGAGAAACGCTTCTACTGCCAACACGAGATTGAAGACGGGAGGAGCTAACGAATTCGCGATGATTCGCTGATTTTTGAGATGAGTCTAGTCTGGATGAAATTACGATATAATGTAATGCATACAAAAACATGTTGGTCATGTCCGTCGCTACATCGGGTTTTGAGTAGTCCGCGAGTTTAAGATATGCTACTAGACTCGGCGATTAACAAGAGGTTGATCAATAATTACTACAAACAGCTTTGACTTGCTTCACAAGACACGCATGAGAAGAAATTGGGCAAGAACGAATTTTATGCATCGATATTTGTATGAACCGCGCGAAAATGATATCATGTAAGTATTCACGAGAAACCTTGAGAGATCTTTTCATGCCAAGTGTTTTGCAATGTTGGACTAGGCTTGTCTTTTCATTGCCATCTTGAAGAGGCAAAAGGGTTTTTCCAAGGCGATCTCCTAGAATCATTTATACCAACCACATATCATAAGGCTACTCCCTCACGATTTGCTGAAAGATTGTTACCAATCAGTAGTCTCGAGTCAAACTTTAAAAAGGGATTTACTAGAGAAGTTATTTTCTCTATTTGATTTTGAGTAGAATCGTATCATTGTAGAATGTAATTTTTTTATATTATATTATAGGGGCGTGAGCATAGAGACTGGACTACTTGGAGGCTTGTGGAATGTAACGCAAATCTTATAAAATTGATTAAACCGATATATTTGGACCCGTGCATATGGCCTGAACCAAGAAATGTAAAATCAATTACTTCTCTTTGGCAAACGAATGTAAATATATGGATGGCTTGCCAACCGCCTTACCAAGTCAACTGATTCCCTTTGACTTTTGAGCATCTTTTTCTTGAATGGAACCAAATATATTCGGGACGGGAAAAGACCACTTGATTTTTTATGGCCCTTTCCAAATGCAAAGTGTGAAACTGCCAAGTGAAGAAATGGTTGAAGTGGCTCATTCATATAGCTGTTTGACCTTCTTTTCTTTTCTTTCTTTTCGGCCATGGGAGGACATCTAGGCCAGGCAAAATTGCCGAACTTTTCTTGTGACTTTGATCAATCAGGCTATACCCAAATGCAAGGGTCGCTCTTCAATTGTCAAGCCACCATCTTGGAACACTTCTTCCTCTTCGTTTTTTCAAATTTGAACAGCCCGAAGGCTTGATCCCCTTGGGTCCCATGCAACTTGCAAAGGTACGAAAATTTTCGCACGACTTGCTTGTTTGAAGATTGCCCTCCGCTTTTTTACTGTGTGCTCACGGAAAATCATAAGATGAGAGTATCGACGTAATCAAGAAAAATGATTTTTGTAGATTTGAAATCGACATGAATAAAAGAAAAAGAATCTCTCGCCTTTGTAGCGTGTTCAACAAAACCATAGCAGTTTGGAATGATGGGGTACGACAGTGAATCCATGGCTCTGGATTTGATGCGATGAACATGAACTGCCAGCTCTTTAATCACGAGGAAGACGACCAAGAAAGATTAAGCTACTCAACATCGTGAGTTTGCCGAATTATTGGCTGAGGAGGAGATTCTATTCCGCCAATATATCTGGTCAAAAATAGCCCATTGGGCCGTAAAATGGGCTTTATCCGTGGCGGATTTTCTTTGCTCAAATGGCACGAGCCCCTTTTGCTCTATACCCGTTGTCTCTTATTTAAGAAAGAGATAAGTGCACTGGGAGTTTTAAAATTAGTTGCGAAAATATAATTGAGTCCTAAAAATTTTAAAAAGTACAATCAAATCCTACAACTTATCACGAAAGTGCAATCGAATTCTAAAATTTTCAAAAAGTGCAATCAACGGAAAAATTTAATTTGACCAATTGAACAAGTTTTGGGACTTAGCTGCACTTTTTGAAATTTTTAGGATACAGTTGCACTTCCGTGACAAGTTTTATGACTTAATTGCATTTTTTGAAAGTTTTAGGGTTCAATTACACTTTCATGATAAGTTTTTATGACTTCCAATGCACTTATGCATTTAAGAAATTAGCGAGATCTTTTTCATGCATGAAGAAGATCAAACAAGAATTCGCGATTGAAAAGGACCGATGTTAGTCATTCATGCTCTCGCAACATTGACAAATTTTGAATTTTTGTCATTCCAAGATTCGCGATTTCGCTTGCCCGTTTTTTTTTCATTGATCCTTCGAATGATCATTGATGACAAAGCAATTCTAATACATGGAGCGTGCAATTTGAGATTCTGGGAAAAGGGCGTGAAGAGACGGGAAAAGAAAAGAACAAAGTAGGGAAGAAGTAAACGAGAATCTTTGCATATGTTAATTTAGAGAGAACTCATAAAAGACTTTATTCTATACGTGCCGACTGAAACTAGAGTTTGTGCAATTTGTTTTAATGATGATAAAACTAGAATGGAGAAGTTGCGCTTTATAAGAACCAACATGAAAATGGACCAATTTGGCACTAACAAGTAGAGATGGCAAAATGGGTCAAGCACTCATACTTTAATTCATATTCAATTTTACAGGTCATAAATGGGTTGTCTTTAGTTCGGGCCAACATCGTCGTTTTCGGTTTGCGATCTCTATATCTCTCTCTATCTCTCTCTCTCTCAATGGGGCGCAGGTGGGGTCGAGGGGATCAATTGAGTGGGACTCAACCAATACACGATGAATTGAGTATGGTGTCCTTATAGTACTTGTTCAGATGCGCCCTTGATTTTTAAAAATATATGAAACATTTTTAAAAAAGTAAAGAGATCGGGTCTGGATGGGGTCCAATCGGGCCTAAACGAAGGGATCTACTTTGCTGCCCACCCTTATTCTCGCTCGCGGGAAACTAAACAAAGGTCGCTATGTCCATGGTTTAACTCCACTTGTAATGTTCATTTTCACTTCTCCATTCTAAGTAAGTAAACAATGCGCTCGTAAAGGGCTAATTTCAAAAAACGAGCATAAATTTTGTCTTAAAAAATAATTCTGGCCCGAACTTTTTTTCGTCTCAATAAGCGAGTCCTAAATTTGACCTCCCGTGATTTGAAATTTTCAAAATTATTCGGAACAGATTTGAGATTTGAGTAAAAGTTTGTGATTTTTTTACGGAACAAAAAAAAAGTTCGACCCAGAATTGTCGGTCAAGGTAAAGTTGATACTTTTTATTGGAATTAGTCCCACGTGCGGTAATGAATCGATGCCTTGCTCGACGTTATGGGCAGGTCCGAAGACCAATCTCTCGATACCCGACCCGGCCCGCCAACGAATCAGATGGGGTCTTCTTCCCTCACGTGACCGGCGGCCACAAAAGCTTCCCCACACCACCACCAACAACAACACTTTCCTTTGTTTTTTTCCCCCCAGTCCCCACCACTCACCACCCACCCTCCTCCCTCGCGCACTATTCACCAACGGCGCACGCAATCCACCGCCACCCATCCATCCATCCCGCAAGCGTCCAGAGCACGCGCGACACGTGTCGCCCCCAACCCCTCCCCCTCCCCCCACCACTCCCTTAGTCCCCAAGGAAAATTAATAAATCGAAAACGAAAAATTAAAAAAAAAGAGGAAGGAAAAAAGGAAAAAGGAAAAGGGGGAAAGAGGGAAAAAGAAGGTGAAGGAGAAGGAAGAGGGGGTGGGGTGGGGTGGGGGGAGGGGAAGACAAAGGAATCAAACAGTCGGCGCTCATGTCTTCGCCGACCATTCATCACGTCCCTTTCCCCTCTCTCTCTCTCTCCATCTCCGCGGCACCATATAAACCCTAATCCTCTCGTGCTCTGTCCGGTTCTGGTTATTTAGTGGTTCCTTCCTCTGTTCCTTTTTTTTTTTTTTGCTGCCGTTCCTCTTGAATTTTTGTCGGAGGAGGATTGATTTCTTTCCTTTCTTTCTTTCTCTCTTTGTTTTTTTCTTTTGTTCGGTTTGGTTTCTCGCCGTTTCGTTTTCCTGCTGCCGGTCTCGGATCGTCTTCCGTTTTTGATATTTTTTCCCACGAATCGGAAGATGTCTGGGTTCTCTAGTTCCTCGTTTTCCCCCGATCTAATTCCCTAAGTAGCTTGCTTGCTTGCTTGCTTTCTTTTTCATCTACTTCTGATTTATCGAATCTTTGCTCTTCCTTTTGCTCGCTTCGATCTCCGCGGCTGAATTCGCCGGCCTTCGCGTGCGTGTCTCGGTTCCCCCTGGTTGGTTTTTTTTTTTTTTTTCGGGGAGGGGGAGGGGGGTTTGGCGGGGGAATTATGAAGGCTGCTAGCGTGGAGCAGACGGTGGTGGAGAGGGTCGAGGATGGGGATAAGAAGGAGAAGAAGACCCGGCGCCGTCCGAGCCGCCGCTCTAAACAGAGCAACTCGAATTCCGGTACGCCCTTCTCCGATTCACAAAAGCGAAAGGGAGAGCCGCGAGCCGGGCTCCTCGGGTCGATGCTTGCTTTTGTTTTGCTTCCGTGATGGGGGGCGCGTTGTCGTTTTTATCTGCTTGAGTTTCTGGGTTCGAGGTTTGGGTTGAGTTGAGCTTGACGTCGTGGAGAGATAAATAAAGCTCGTCGCCTGCTGAGCCGCGGGGTTGCTTTGTTTAGCTGGGTTAGATGTAAGAACTGGTTTTGCTTGTGAAAATGTTGTCAGGAAGAAGAAAATGGGTTGAGTGGCACCTCGATCGCTGAGGACATGGAGGCCTAGATTTAGTTGTAGGATACAGTTACATGACAAAGAATTTGCTTGCTCTCAAAGCAATCGACTTTGAGTTGGGAGGAAAAGCTCAGGACTGGATATTCCTTTCGGTAAAAAGGGGACTCATATTTTGAGGTTGCAATCGCATGTGCGAGTCGCTGATAGTTCATGTTGACATTCAAGGTTTTTTGGTTAGCATCGTCTGGTGATTTGAGCCGCCAACCAAAGGAGAGAATGGGTTTATTATGTAATGGGAAACTGGAATCAAGAAAGTATATGCATGGTTGTGAATAACCCACTGTTTATCTTTATGGTGCTTGTCGACATCGCAGTTTGCAGATCTTTCTCTTGCTTCTATTTTCTCTCTTGATGATAACATTTGTTGTTTGCTTTTAGCTTTTAGCTCAGAATTATGATTTTACTATGTGTTTTTTTTGTAGAAGCTGCTTGCAGTTCAGTTAACGAATCTCAAAGCGATGTGGGTTTATCCCTTGCAAAAAAATCTCCCTCTACTGTCAAACATTTGCTATCAAAGTCGCAGGGGTTAGGCACCCATCCCTCAGTTGAGCAGGAGTCAGCAAAAGCATCGCATGTCTCATTCAATTCCATGCCGACAATGCATATAAACGACGGAGCAGATCAAGAACAATTGCAGGGGGTTGCAAACTTTCGTTCACTTGCATCTAACACTGGAGGAAGAACATTCTCCGATTCCTTTCCTGACCCAGTTGCATGTGGAGGGTCATCCGAGACATCTTCTAGTAAGGATTCGTGTACTTATCGGACTTTGAGCTGTGATCAGAGTAAGTCTTTGCCTTCGCATTGGTCTGTGGAGGTTGTTAATGACGCTCTAGAGGTTAGTAGCTAACAAGTCATTGAAAGTAAACCGAACATGTTCTGAATCTTCATATAATAACGGTTCCAGATATTTCTGTTTTAACGGTTTTTTGCCTTTTACTTCCAGAAAGGCGATGTCTTCAGGGCATTGTTTCGTGTCAATGCTCACAATAGACTAGAGGTTTGTTGGCTTTTCAATGCGCACATTGACCTCTTTGTACTTTTGAATGTACATAATTTTACCCCTGGTTTGTGGTTGTAGGCCTACTGCAAGATTGACGGAGTGCAGACAGATATTCTTATAAATGGCGTTGCTGTGCAGAATAGAGCTGTAAGTTAACATTGCTCGTGAGCTGTGAGTTTTAATCTGACTGAATGAGTATCTCATGGCATCTCCTTCATTGCTTAGTTTAGTTGGAAATTTTTCTAGCTTACCGCCAGATGACTCGTTCATACTGTTAGCATTGGTGTTTTATTTGATATATCATAGTTGCTTGGAGAATTATGTGCCTTAAACCTGTGCAATTTTGGCAGAAGCTGGGAATCTGATTCTGTTTAGTTGTTCCTAGTTCATACATGAGTTCTGCTGTCTCACAAATGATGGTGGCAACCTGTACTTGTGTTTGCAGAATCTTGTTAAGGAAGGAAGGAGAGGAGTTATGATAATTTTCAGCATAACAAACCTGTTCAAACTCCATCTCATGTTTAAGATACTGCGATTTAATACGAAAATAATGGGTCTGCTCATGCTCTCATTTATAGCTATATCGCCTTTTTCCAATTTGCAAATTTGATTGGTTGAAAATAATTTCTCATGTGAAAGATGCTTAGTATTGTTGATTTATTTGGTTTGTAAGTATGTCAGTTTGGAGTGTGACTTATGTGATCATTGTTAATGTGTCCCTAATGTAGGTGGAAGGTGACGTAGTGGCGATTAAGATCGATCCCTTAACATGCTGGACCAGGATGAAAGGGTCACATGGGTCTCCCAACAGCTCTGCTATGACAGAAGATGGTAATGTCTTTCAGGAGATCAATGAGATTTCTGGGGATTCTTGCAAAGGCGGACAACAGTTAGAGATTTATTCCGAGCTTGATTATACCGGAAATCCTATAGTCTCTGGGAACGATCACGGGGACCTCACTACTTCTGCAAAATCTGGTCAGTCAAAATTGATTGGTCAAGAAAGTAATCATAGTAATGGATATCACCCCTCCTCTTCATATCATCTCGAGGGAGGGTCTTCTAGCTGGCAGAATGAACCTGAGGATGCAATAGGGAAGATCTCTTTTTTGATCAGTTCTCACCCATCAAAGAGGCCGACCGGAAGGGTTGTGTCCATCATTGAAAGGTCATCACGTCGAGACACTGTTGTTGGTTTCCTTAATGTGAAACAATGGCTCACTTTTAAGGAAGGATCCGGAAAGATCATTAAAAGAAATAAGAATTCATCATTTTTTTCGGAGCATGAATTCATTCAGTTAACACCAACAGATGCAAGATTTCCGAAGATGATGGTCCTGGCAAAAGATTTGCCTGAAGGCATCAGAAAAAGATTGAACGATTTTGTCACTGCAATGGAAATGGAACTGGTTGCTGCTAGAATTGTGGATTGGTACGAAGAGAGTCCCTTTCCATATGCTCGTGTCCTGCATGTCTTTGGACGTGGAGGCGAAATGCAGCCAAATATTGATGCCATCTTGTTTCAGAATTCAATCAATTGTTCTGAGTTCTCTCCTGAATCGATTTCTTGTCTTCCTTGTGTCCCTTGGAATGTGCCGCCAATGGAATTCCGACGTAGAAAAGATTTGAGAAAAAAATGCATATTTACAATCGATCCTTCTACTGCCACTGATCTTGATGATGCCCTCTCCATTGACATATTATCAACGGGCACGTATAGAGTAGGCGTCCACATTGCTGACGTGTCATATTTTGTACAACCTGACACAACCTTGGATTCAGAAGCTCAAAGTCGGTCAACAACTGTCCACATGTTGCAACGTAAGATATCAATGTTACCACCTTTGCTTTCTGAAAATTTAGGTTCACTAAATCCTGGAGTTGATAGACTTGCATTTTCAATTTTCTGGGATATCAGCAGTTCCGGGAATGTTATTGATCGTTGGATTGGTCGTACTGTGATACGCTCTTGTTGTAAGCTCTCATATGAACAAGCTCAAGACATTATTGATGGAATTGTCGATCTAGGGACTGTTTGTGCTTCAGAGAATGGCCTCCCAGAAATGCATGGCAATTTTGAGTGGTCTGATGTAATTACATCCATAAAAAATCTTAATGATCTTTCCAGGATCTTGAAGGAGAATAGGCTTAAAGATGGGGGTTTAGTGCTCGAGAACTCTAAAATTTTGTATTCATTAGATGAGGATGGAATTCCATATGAGAGTATGCTTTGTCAACGGAAAGACTCAAATTTCCTTGTTGAAGAGTTTATGCTTTTGGCAAACAGGACTGCCGCTGAGGTCATAGCTAGAGCTTTTCCTGATACTGCATTATTGCGGAGGCATCCTGAACCAAATATGCGCAAGCTACGGGAGTTTGAAGCTTTTTGTTCGAAACATGGTTTAGCATTGGATACTTCTTCTTCTGGTCAGTTTGGGAAGTCATTGGAGCAAATCAGGGAAACCCTCAAGGATGATTCTGTGCTGTTTGATATTCTTATTTCTTATGCTACGAAGCCGATGCAAGTTGCAACTTACTTTTGTACCGGTGATTTGAAAAACAATGAAGATGATTGGGGTCATTATGCGCTCGCTCTTCCTCTTTATACTCACTTTACATCTCCATTACGCCGGTATCCTGATATTGTAGTACATCGCATGCTTGCTGCTGCTATAGAAGCTGAAGAGATGTACCTGAAAAACAGTGCTAGGAACCAGGGAGATGTAGTGACCAGGTGTTTTACAGGCATTTCTTTTGATAATGAGGCCACTGGTTCTAGGGAGGGCTGCGAAGCATTATCTGCTGCAGCTTTGAAGTATGGAGTTCCTTGCAGAGAACTTCTGTCAGATGTGGCTGCTTATTGTAATGAGAGAAAGCTTGCGAGCAGGCGTGTCAAGGATGCCATTGATAAACTATATATGTGGGTTCTTTTAAAGAAAAAGCAGGTGTGTCCTACTTCCTACTTTCGCTGACACTTCTGCTAAATAATTGTGGTATGTGCTCTAGAAATGATTGCTCTCCAAGGAGGGAAATAGATTTTGTGATGGTAAGGGTTGGATGTCTTTTAAAGACGAGGTCATAGTGTTCTTTTTTGGTCGTTTATGCTTATGTGAAAAACATTATCTTTGTTCTTGGGCTCACTTAACTTGGTGTACGGATAAATGTGATGACTTTGATGGTCCATCTTACTAGAATTGTCAGTGGCGATGCAGCAGCTGCTATTACTTTCCCTAGTGATTTAGAAGTTAGTGTGTATTTTCAGTGTTCTACCTCGCCATTCTTGTCTTGTTTGTTTATTTCATGACTGAAACTTATACGTCTTAGGTCGTTTGTGGTATCTCCTCCTTAATTCCAGATTTTAATTTTTTTTTTTGTTTTGGTTAGGACGCATTGCAAAATTGAGATGATCTCATTGAATAACACTGTTTACCTTGTCATTATAGTTTAGTCATTAATTATCATTCTTGCCCCTGTATTGCATGGAATCCTCTGGTGATTCGCAAAACGTAAGGGCCTTATGCCATTAGCTGCCTTTTTTAAGCCTGAGTTTGTATTGTTGAGGAATTGAGCGATGCTTTTTTCTCTGTTGAGGAATTTAGTGATGATGTTCTTTATCTGCAGGTATTAATAACAGAAGCCAGAGTATTAGGCTTGGGTCCCAGATTTATGTCCCTCTATATTCCAACATTGGCGGTGAGTAGTGTTTTTTGTAGGATTTGACATTCTACAGTTGAGAATGCCTTTTCTTTTCTTTTTCTATTTGTAATTTTTCTCACCTTGGTGGTCTGCAGATTGAAAGGAGAATATACTACGATGAAGTTGAAGGTCTGTGTGTTGAATGGCTTGAGACCACATCTACGTTAGTGCTTAGTCTATTTGCTTATAAGTCCTCAGTTAGAAGAGGTTCCTTAAATAAGTTTAGGGCACTTGAAGATGCTGCACTAGTCGTGAGTTCATATGACCAAGAAGTGGACCTCGGTGGGTCTGCTGTGGGTGCGTCTAGTGCCACAGAAGTTAAGAATTTGGACATTTCGCGACTAAGCTCACAAAGTTCTGAAGTCGATCCAATGGTTTTTCCAATGACAGTGCGACATCTCTCCACCATACCTGTTGCGCTTCATGCGGTGGGTGGGGATGTTGGACCTATTGACATTGGTGTGAGGCTGTATATGAGTACCTATTTGAGGTGAAATGGCGCTGGTTGCAATGCTTCTGAAGAAACTCAAAGCAGATGAATAATAGCAGGGCTTGGTTGGACTGGGGAAGTTTATTGTATAGATGAAGTAGTAGAGGAGTGGTTATAGGCTTTAAGAGAAGTTACTAAAGTTGGGATGTTTATTGAACTTGGTTATGTTGACTAGTGTCATGAGAGGTGCATGTATAGGTCGATATGGCTTTTGGCTTTAGTGGCTGTTTTTTAACAGAAGCTGCTTTGCTGGAACGGCCGTATTTTTGTAGGCCAGTTCCTGACCTGGACTATGGCTCCAAGCATCATTCTCTGACTCGGAAGTTCTGGAGCCGGTTTCGAGCTGCACGGGGAAGTAGACTTTACCCAGGCTGCAACCCAGGAAATTTTTGGACTTAGGGTGGCCGCCTCTGCTTGTTCCGGTTTCAAAGTGTTCTTTAAATGTTTACATTTTGTGGTCGGTTGTCTGCTTGATGTCGAATGGCAGCACATTCCGATGAATAACATGTTTTTTTTCTTTTTATGCAAGACGAGATACAATCTGGGCATGTGTTTCTGAATTTTTTGGTTTGTCCGAGATAATCTCATTTGGTTTTTGTGCTTGAAACTTTTTGCATTTCCAGAAGAGGGCAATTTTTCCTTCTTTTACTTGAAGCACGAGTTTGACGGTACTAAGAACGAACCTACCAAAACGGTGGAGATTATGCAGAAGGTTGAGATCGTTGCTCTCGCTGCTGCAAATGACATCCTAAACTGACGTTTCATGGCTTGGAGTACTTTAATTGAAAGAGATTGGGGATCAAAAACTTTTAGGGTTCCTATAGTGTAGAGGGCAAAGTGCAGTCTCCATTAATTTGAGCGACAACTAGATCTGTTAAATAGGTGAATTGGGCCAGGTTTGGATTTGGGTTGGGCCAGGTTTGGATTTGGGTTGGGTCATAAATGGTATGACCTAAATTGACTCATTATCCCAATTATGATCCATTTGTTCGTAATGCAAAGCTATTGACCTATATTTGACCGGATCTATATTGCTAAAATACTTTTATATTTAAACTAATACAGGAAAATCCATACCCAAACTTAAGTGAGAGTGTTGAGCGAACGAGTGCGAGATCGAGTGAAAAGAGAGTAATAAAAGTTGGTTCTGTCTAAGTAAATTGTAAATTCATGTAGGATTCATTTATGACCCACTTAACACGCATATATGTTTAAACCCATTTATAATTCATTTATTAAATATAACTAACTCATATAATAATTAAGCACATCATATGTGGGTCAATAAATGAGTTTATGATTCATTTTAATAGGTCTAGCAACAACCGAAGATGTCAATAGTTCGGGCTTTGGCAACATGTTACACTGAAGCGTCGGATATGAATTCGACACCTGAAAGGGATAAGATCAAACACATAGGATACTCCGTACATTGCCTCCTGTAATTTCTAAAGTAAAGTGAGTGAATTTGTTGCAAGATACCTTCACAGAAAACCTATTACAACTGAAAAATCATCTGGAAATGGGATATATAGTCTTAAAAAATACTTATTTTTACGATTTCATTTTTTCGGCAAAAGAGTAGTAACTTCTTGTTGGTTGACCGGTTTGTTTGGCGTATAGGAACAGCTCGATGTGGTCTCCCTACCGAGGAGCACTTTTGATTAGGGGTGAGCGGTTCCAGATTCCTTACAGGTTTCACATGGAACCTGGAACCTACTCTCGGGTACAGGTTCCTCATTTTTTGGAACTTAAAACCTACCTGTCGGAAGTTGGAACCTGAAACTTACCCTGTCATAGGTTTCAAGGTACGTTTCAGGATCTAACGGGTTTTTTTTTTTTTTTTAATTTCATCAAAACGAAAAATGAACGCCACAATACTGAATAAACTTGTCATTCATAAAAAAGAATACGAAAGACTAGTTTTCCTTACATTACGGTCAAATAAATATAACTAAAATAAAAATTCATTGCGTGAATCGATATTAGGGGTGAGCAGTTCTATGTTTCGTATAGGTTCCACCCATGATAGTAGATTCCTCATTTTTTAGAACTTGGAACCTACCCTATCAAGGTTCAAGAGTCGATTCCAGAGTCTACTCAGGTTTCACCTGTATTATTAATTGAACAATTGTAGTGAATTATCACCTTTAATGGCCACCACTTACTGCTATGATCAACTAACCACAATTTATATTTAGACACACGAAAAATATAAAACATTAACAAGTCATAAAATGAAATATCGGGCAAGTGGTTCTAGATTATATACTTATCATCTAACGCTATGAAAAACAGCAGAATCACGCGAAGATATAAACTAAGAAAAAACTCAAAAAACTTGTTTAGGTTCCAGGTTTCAGGTTACAGGTTACAGGTTTCACCTATCTATAATCTGGAACCTATTCGTCGAAACAGGTTCTCCAATTTTTGGAACCTGGAACCTATCCTGCATACCTTGGAACCTAGAACCTATAGGTTCCCACTGATCGGGTTCTCGGGTTTAAGGGTAGAACCTGAAACCATGCTCACCCCTACTTTTGACGGTTGTAGTTCTACGGTTTGGGCCCTTGACTGTAAAAATATGAAATGTTCAGGTCCTTAAGTACAAAATGACCAAAGTACTGGGGCCTTCTAACTACTTGCAAAAACAATAGGGATGGGGAGGCACACATCGAAGAGTGACTTGATAGAGTTATATACAATGTGGAGTGGAGAGTAATGTACCCAAATGCACAAGTTCTTGCCCTTCCTGCGGTCGGCTCAGATCATAGTCCCCTATTGCTTTCATTATCAGCAACAACCATAAAAAGGAAGAGGGAATTCAAGTTTGAAGCATACTGGCTAGAAGATGAAAAATGTAAAAGAGTTGTTCAGTCAATGTGGAGCATACCAGGATTGGAAAATGAGAAACTCCTGAGAAAATTACAAAGAGTATCAAAAGCTTTAACGAAATGGAGCAAAGAGAAGTTCTCAAATGCGAAACGCCAAATTGAATATCTGAAAAGGGAGCTACAGAAGATCACGAATGCTCCAATTGTGCACTACAATAGAGAGAGGGTGAAGTTCTTGAACCAGCAAATAGATAAACTCGGGAAACAAGAGGAAATATTTTGGGGAATGAGATCAAGGATAAGTGGGTTGCAATGGGGAGACAAAAACACCAAGTTTTTCCATGCAACCACAGTACAAAGAAGACAAAGAAACAAGATCTCCATGCTAAAATTAACGGATGAGGAATGGTGTCGAGATCCAAAGCAACTACAGGACATGACGGAGCAGTTCTTTAAGTCTTTATACACCACCGAGGGCCCAAGAAACTTTCACCCAGTACTAGAACAGTGTCCTAGCTTAGTGGAGGATCAAATGAATTGCAGTCTACTGAGAAATGTATCAATGGAGGAGGTAAAGGAAGCAACTTTCTAGTTGGGAGCAAAGAAAGCACCGGGACCAGATAGTTTAAATGGGCTATTCTATCAACAACATTGGGACATCATCAAACACGATGTATTCACTATGGTGAGAACTTTCTTTGAATCTGGCCATCTTGACCCGAACCTGAACAAAACCCATATTGTTCTGATTCCTAAGAAGCCTAACCCAGAAACACTAGACCAGTTCAGGCCCATTAGCTTATGCAATTTCGGCTACAAAATTATCTCCAAGGTCTTGGCAAATCGCCTAAAACCTTGGCTTCGTAATATGATAGCGGAGGAGCAAAGCGCTTTTGTTAGCGGCAAACAAATACAAGATAATATCCTAGTTGTTTAGGAAGTCCTACATCAACTAAGAATCAGGAAGAGGAAAAGGAAATTTCAAGCCATCCTCAAGTTGGACATGAAAAAAGCCTATGATCGGGTTGAGTGGGACTTCCTTGAGGCATGCATGATTAAGATGGGTTTCAGTGCAAGATGGGTTTCATGGATTATGCAATGTGTCACTACAACCTCCCTTAGTGTCAAGTTTAACGGAGAACCACTTCCTTTCTTTGCGCCATCGAGAGGTCTTCGGCAAGGAGACCCTCTATCCCCTTACTTATTCATAATTGTTGCAAACGCACTCTCCTCACTCATGAAGAAAGTTGTGGATGATGAGAGTGTTAGAGGAATTAGGCTCAACAGGTTTTGTCCGACACTTTCCCATCTACTTTTTGCAGACGATTCTATTTTCTTTGTGGATGGAAAGGTTAGTGAATGCCAGAACTTATCCTCTATTCTACATCAGTACTGCTTCGCAATAGGTCAGGCAATCAACCTCAACAAAGCGGGAGTTTTTTTCAGTTCAGGATGCCCGCATCAATTGAGAAGGAATATGGCCCAAGAATTGCGAGTTCCGGAGATTGACAAAACGGGGAAGTACCTAGGAATCCCCTCCGATTGGGGTCAAACAAAAAAAACAGATGTTCGCATGGATTTTGGCGAGAGTAAACATGAAGTTGGAAGGGTGGAAAGAAAGTTTTATCTCCAAAGTGGGTAAAGAAATCTTGATAAAAGCAGTCGTACAGGCTTTACCACAATATGCGATGTCCATTTTCAAAATCCCAGTGTCCATTTGCAAGGCCATAGAGAGGAAGATAGCTTTATTCTGGTGGAAAACACATGCATCAAAAGTCGGCCTTCATTGGAGAAGATGGGAGATACTGAAGCAAAAGAAAGATAAAGGAGGTTTGGGCTTCAAAGACCTCGTCACGTTTAACAAAGCAATGCTAGGAAAACAAGCTTGGAGAGTCTCTCAAACTTCAAGTACATTATGGTGCAAAGTTCTAAAAGGATGTTACTTTTCAAACATCGATTCTGGCATGCAGTTAAGGGTTCTCATCCATCGTGGGGCTGGCAGAGCCTTCTTATGAGAAGAGATGCCATTTCGAAGGAGGTGAGATGGAAAGTGAGTAACGGGCAACATATTAGAATCAGGGAAGATAGATGGCGAGAGGGGCGAATTAGGAGGACCAAAAAACCAACATGAACCCAACATGGTAGCAGATTTGATCGCTCCAACGGAACATCTCTGGAATGAGCAACTTTTACACAACTTATTCGATGAAGAAGTTGTGAATGAAATCCTAGCTATTCCACTGCCATCTACCCCGAAAGAAGACTCGCTAGTGTGGTCATCAAATAGGTCCGGTTGTTATTCTGTCAAAAGCGGATACAATGACCTACGAAAGAATGAGACCGCACATGGCTCTGGGCAGCCCTCTTCTTCCTACCAAATACCCAACGATCTATGGAGCAAAATTTGGAGGCTAAAAACACTCCCAAAAGTCAGACTTTTCATGTGGAGCGTCTGCCAAGATGCATTACCTACAAGGGTAAACTTATTCAAGAGAAAAGTATTATCTGAACCTTTTTGTCCATTGTGTCGAAAAAAGCCCGAGACAGTCGAACATCTATTCCTTCTCTGCGACAAGACAAAGCAGGTTTGGTCAAATCCCTATTTCAACATCCACTTTTCTTACCAACAAGTCACTAGATTTGAGGAGTGGTTGCAAAACTACAATGATATGACCCAAAAAAACATACCTTTCGAGATCATTGCAGTCACCCTTTGGAAAATCTGATTAGCGTGTAACACCCTAGTATTCCATCATGAGCAGACAGACCCAATCAACATAATTGAATCGGCTCTAAACATGCATTGTAATTACGCGAAGTGGAATAGAAGCAACTTAAAGCGTGAAGCAGTACCGCTGAACTTAAAATCGAGATGGAGACCACCAGACCCTGGTTTGCTGAAGATAAACATCGATGGATCTCACCTCTCAGGGACCATGGAAGGGGCAATTGCATGCGTATGTCGCGATTTAGAAGGAAGATTGATGGAAGGCCTTGCGCGACCAGTCCGAGCATCTTCCGCCCTTCAAACCGAAGCCCTTGCCTGTCTCTATGCCCTCAAACACTTTGCTGATCAGCCTCATTTAAAACTAATGCTGGAGTCTGACTGTTCAACGTTGATAAGCTGTTTGAGAGATTTTTCCCTCTGTCCTTGGGATGTTGAGCCAATTATCACTGATTGTATTGGCCTCTTGGCTTTTTTTGAGAGTTTAGAATTGATCATTTGCACCCGTGACTCAAATAGATTAATAGACTGAGTTGTAAAGGCGTCAAGGTATGAGACCCTCCCCCGAAACTGGGTTTGTAATCCCCCTTCCCCTCTTTGGAAAATTTTGTATTTTGATGCTCCTTACAACTCCTATAGGTGGGCCTGGGTTTAACGAGATTATATCTCTATTTTGACCAAAAAAAAAAAATACTTGCAAAGAGTTCCCAATCGCGCGCGCCTGCACAGAGACGACACTTCTCAGTTGCACTCTCTCTCTCTCTCTCGTCGGTGAATCGTCGACGATGGCATCTGCGATCGGTTGGTACGGGCCTCTGATCGATCTCTCGGAAGCAGCTTCTCACGTCGGCGACTTCGTTCAGCTCCTCGTCTTCGTCCATCGTTCCACTCCGGTTCAGGTTGTTGTCTTGTCGAATCATCTCTTTCCGAATGCTGATCGATCTGAAACTCGCTTTTTTCACCTTAAAAAAAAAAAACTGGGTTGCAGCTGGAGTTTTGGATATGAAGTTGTGATTTGATTATAGCTTATCTCGTTTCTTCAAGTGGGTGATCTACTGTTTCCTCTTTAGTCTTTAAGAACAGTCGGTGCGGTACAGGGTTCGTGCTTCTGGTTTCCGGGTTGTCGTCTGCTTCCAATTTTCGAATTGTCCAATTCGCGGCGGAAATACAAAAGGGTCGCTTGCTTTGGGTCCGTTTGAAATGTGTATGTGTATGCTCGAGCGCGTGTGCGAGGCCGTGGCTTGTGCGCGCGATGGAAGTGCGTTTGCTGGTGTTGCGTAATCCATATCTGCACTTAATAGGAACACAATGGAGATACACGATGCGCATTTTCTCTTAGATTTAAGCATCGCACGACTGGACGGTGCTCAATCTGCTCATTCTTGTTTCTGGTATTGGCTGAGACAGTACAAGTTATCGGAAGGTGGGGAGATTATCAGGACCGATGTTCAAGTTGGTGATGATACGAGGCCACGTTTCATTGTGTCGCTCTGGCAGAAGCAAATGGGGTCTTTGACAATTTCCGGTGATGTGATACTGCTACAAAGTAAGATCACCTCTCAATCTTTTTATCTTAATATTATAGAACAATAGGCAGTTCACTTTTTGGGCTATTTAAAATTTTAGGTAGTGCGATGAATAGTTTTTGGAATGAACGAAGTTTCATGCCGTCAAATACATATTTCTCCTTTCATTATGCCACTCAGATGTTAAGGTTGCCAGATTCGGCGATCTTGTTGCAAGGACAGTCAGTTGTTCATCGATCATGCCCTTGGTCCACCCTCATGAACTGATGTTTTCCAAAGGTATGCTTCTTGTCATATTTTAGTCCTGTGTATGGAGGTTTATATGTAAGTGAACTTATCAAATTCCTTCATTGGTATCTTTACACCTCTTTCTTTTATAGTTCTTTCATGTTGCATCCCACTATTCTGTTTTCACATGAATACAAAATGGAGGAAGTCTTTACACAGTTTTCTATTTATTTGCCCATGGCCAACGGATTCATTTTATCGATTCAGTAATTATTGTGCCAAAGGTGAAACGCTAAAAGGTGAATAGTTCTGCCAGACAATGATTACAAGATCTTTTTCGCTATAAATGGTGTAAAATATGTAGTTCTCTTTCAAGAAAAACAAAATCATTCCAATGACATGCACATTTTTAAAGCAATCTAGTTGTTATCTTTTCTAAGCCAAATGTAGCTTATGGGAATTAGATGGAACCGCCTCTGCTTTCTCCATTTATGGAATTTTTTAATTCTTGTTCCATGATTGCATCCTGTGACCACTTACAATGCATCGTCTTTTGTTATTCATTTAGGCGTAGATGAACTGATAGGGAACACCAGACTTGGCACTGCAGGAAAGGAAAAACTGAAGAAGGTGATTGGTTGGGTCAAGGCAAATGAACTTATCCTCCGCAATGTTAGTTCCTGATAATTTTGACCATTTCTTTTCATGTTCAATTATATCATTTGCATGTGTGTGAGCTTTTACTGTTCTTTTGAGTCATACTGCTACTCAATCATGTGATGAGAAATATTTTTCTAGTAATAGCTATACTTTATCTTATGGTGTTTAAATCTTGGAAGACATGCCCCTGTACCTGTTTATTCTAGCTATGTTAACCTGCTTCTGCAGTCATTTTTAGTTGTTGTTAACTTTATCTGTTCCATCTGCGCCATACTAACTGATGCCAGGATATGACCATAAATTGTTGCTTAGCGGAAGCAGTTGTCAAGAAACTGGAAAGTCGTGGAAGTGGGGGAACACAAGGACTGCGCTTCTATCTCAGAAGTACTAAACCTGACTTGTTTGTGTAAGGCAATCTTTCTGGCATCTGTTGGTGAAATCTTTCTTCCAATTGCGTGGAGAGCTATTTGTGAAATTGAGAAGGCAAAGATGTTCATAAGCTGGAGAATAAACAATAAGGATGGTGACGGTTTAGCTAAGGATTTCATTTGTACTGGCTGCCAGATTTGTGGTTCGCCTTTGGAATTAGAACATGGGTAAGAGATATTCATTTCTGCTCTGTTGAAGGGATGCTGTGATATTTGAGCAACCCCTTGATTATTGAATGCTTAATTGGCCTTTATTGCAGTAAGCATGCACTCAAGCAGAACTCTGTTCCTCTCTACTGTGACAAAAGCTCCGACCGCCTTCATGCAGTGAGCCTGATTTACCAACCCTTCATGGTAAGGAGTTCCTCCGCCTTATATTTTTGCAGTTGTGTTATGGTTTACCAGTTAACTTCAGATTATCACATGCAACTGGGTTTGACTCTTTGAAATCCTTAATATTCATGCTAGTCTGCCTATCATAGTATGCAATCTGATGCAGAAAGAAGGTCAAGGACAAAGGCGTTTAGCGACTAACTTATTGTCAATATAAGACATTACCAAGCTATCATGGAAAAGGTGTATAGTTGTTTTCCACCCACTTACCAAGAGTACATTTCGTGGAAAAGGAGGAGAACTAAATCCACAAAGGGGTACTTCTGAATAGTTAGGGGTACCTTGTTTCATCTTATTCACCCATAGCTATGAAACTTTTCCGTCAAATTTGTCTCGAAGGCTTCATGCATTTAAGCTCCGTTTCTTAGATAATACCTCAAAATAAAAAGAGATAATTTAGTGGATACTACATATTGGACATTGGAAGAAGTCTTTTCCATTTTTCTGTTGGAGCCTCTTTTTCCTTTTAAATTCCAATTTCTTAACAATTTCTGACATAGTTGTTTGATTTGTCTATTCTAGTTGTATGCATGGGATGAATCGGGGTCTCTTCCACTTCTTGTAAAAAACAAAGCCGCAGAACTGCTTTTTGGGAATATACCTGCAGAGAGAGTCTATCTATGCCTTGAAGCAAAGCTTCCTGTACACAAGTCTTGCTCCAAGGATGTCCCTGAAATCAATTCCCATGCCGGAGACCCTCTCCATTGCATTCGAGCGCAAGGAGCATCGGACATCGTCTCATCGAGTGGAGATGAGATGGAGAGGGAGGAAAAGAACAAGTGCCACGATAGCGTAGATTTTCATTTCGTGTGGTTTGTAATACTAAAAATGTTACTGCAACAGGGGAAAAATAGTCCTTTCAGATTCGAAGTGAATGTAGATCCCCGTCTAGACAGGGAAAGTGGGAGGTACGAAATGGTCACTGCGACAATGCCATGCTTCAGAAAGAAATAATTTGTCATCTCAATTTACTTCTCTTCCTCGAATGTTGGGGGTTAATTTGTCTGAATTTGTTGTATTGTCAGAACCTAACCTAAAAAGTTAACAAAACTTCGTCGTTTGCAGGTCTCCTGCTCCTAGTCACTTGCACCGCTAGCTAAAGAGAGAAGGATCAATCAATACCCCAAGAGCGAGCTTATCGGTCTCAGAGAAAGAATAGTTGAGACATCTTTTGAATTTTCAGGTTATATCAATAAAGTACCACCACCATCTTCGTAAGTGCACTATAAAAATCTGTCGCATCGATTGTTGTTCAGATAACGCGAAAGAGGTCCCAGAAAAAAAATGAGAAGGAACACAAATTCTTCCAGAAAATCTTATTCAGAGTGAAACTCGGGTCAAATGAAGCAGCAGCAAAGGTTTTGCGAGATAGCATGGTTTGAGCCTCAGCTGCCATGTCGAGAGCCTTCTGACGAGCCATTTGTTTTGCTATCCATCATCGTTACTGTCCCGAGAGACCTAGGCGAATAGGTCTCCCACCATAGTTCATTCATATTTGAACAATGTATGAATGACAATGACATTACTCAAAACTTGCCATACTTGAACACTTCAGATGGACTAACTGACAGCAGAACGTCTCAAATCCAATCCACGAAGTGCTCTCAAGAAAGCTACAAAATGGCATAGATTGAAAACAGACTCATGATGAAGAAAAAAGGTTGTGATCAAGATTCTTTTGCGGTCTCCACCAAATTGGGGTCTGCCGCAGCATTCTGGGCTTCTAAAAGCTGCATTTGACGTTCCGCATGCTCCCTTTCGCACGCGCTGATTCCCATAATGATGTCGAGCATGGTACCTGTCGTCCCGAAGAACACGAGAGGAGCCAGAGACTTCCGTTTTATCCCCACCGGAATCGCTAAGAGAGCTCCTGCTACCGAGAACACCCAAGTGCCCAATGCACTACAAAACAGCATATAAGTCTACGATTCAAACAATTTTACTTCTCACTATGAAAATAAATGTGAATGCTGCATTTGAATGACAAACTGTGACAAAATAAAAAAGCTCCCATTGTTTTTTATCCAATTGAAACAAACTACATGTCTCATTCCTGCACAGCACAAAATCAAGAATGTAAATGGACGGACAACCGTCCATACTCGAGACAGAGATGTGAAAGGCATGACCAACAATCAGAAGCTCCACCATTTCTAAAGAAAGATAAGAGAAGCAGACCTGCTTGCAATTTACTACTCTAAAGCAAACTAAATGAAAGAATTCTATAATCAATCATGTCGCATCACATCACTGTTTGTATCTCAGATCAGATGGCATTTGCAGTATATGTCTAAGAATTCATCATCATAAATTTGATATTATCTCAAGATTATTGGAGTATCAAGTGACAATTTAATAAAAAATAAGCATGCCTATTTTTATCTGCATTTGACACTTTCAAAGTTTAAATGTAAAAATCTGTGGCATATTGGGCTTATTTACATCCCACAAGGGACCAAGCGTATCTGTGATGTCAACCACTGATTTGTGGTGTGAGTTCGCCTTTCACTTGTTAGGTCTAGAATACGTGAAGTATCCCAGCTATAAGATATACTTGCAATTGCATTTCAAACACACATGGAGGGCACTCTCTTTGCCAAACAGATTCATTGTGCAGGTTCCCGATGTGTAATAGGCTATATACACTACTAGGGCTTTTTTTTGCCAACCTACCAATGCTAGAGTACCTTACTCCAGAAGTTTACAACTGACTAGCATAGAAGGAGGGCTGAGATGACCTAGTTAAGGACTCTAACCATGATGATACCAAAACTGCAATGCAGTTCGAAGTGGTAATATCCAAAAACTTTCAATTACATAGAGTTCTTGCTAATTAAGCTAGAAGCAGTAGAACAAAGTTTCATTTCATGAGATTGAATGCATGAATCATGACGGTTGAGGAAGTTGTAAGTTAGCCAAAAAGATTCTTCAATACTTTGCGTGAAGAGGGTTTTCCTGCAGAGATGATTATAGCTACTTTTCCAATCCAGATGGGAGAAGCACTCAACCAGCATAATCCCCGTGCTAAATTATGAACACGCATGAGGGGCATCGCAATGATTCCTGTCAAAATAATTTCAAAACAAGCAAGAGCAAAACCCTACACAGCCCACCTCATAAGCAAATTAACCCGAAATATCAAACACGAAACAGAGGCTGTCTTATTGCTGGTAAATCTCAATTCGATCTATGACAGGAAGGCACGTGCCAAACCTATGAACTATGAGAAGCAATGGATCCCGCGCATAACCACAAGATGCAAAAACTATAAATTGTTTTGCAGAAGCTTTCTCATCCTGGGTATATGCTAAAAAATGTTGACAATATCCCCAACAATGCCGGCATCGTGTGAGAAAATGCTCTAGAATTCTCAGTAACCATGTCAAATTGTGCTGAATCAAGAAAGAGCAAATGCTTATCGAGTTAGCAGGCTGCATTTAGTACAAAAAGAAAAAGGGGAAAGTGCAGACACTCGATGGCATAAACATATTGAGCTACATAGTGGAGCTATTACAAGTCAAAACCCATTCGAAGAACTGCTAGACCAAGTGAATTGAAGCAATGAAAAGCGGTTCTATTTTTCATCCACCAGGGTAAAAAAAAAAAGCCGTCACTTTGAGTTCGACCCACGATTGATCTCCCCTTCAACAGGCAAATTGTCTCTCTAAGTCTAAGCTCAACGACCCATCACGCAACACGGATCAATCCAACAACGTACGGTACCATAGAAGCAAAAGCGCAGCCTAAAGCGTTCTACCCACGAACAATTAGCACGGTTGGATGGAAGAAAAAAGGGGAAAAGAAGCAAAAAGGGACTGACTTGGAGACCGAGCATTCCTCGAGATACTTCACATTCTCTTGCCCACCCATCTCTCGCGACCCCAAGTAGCGTCCTTTACGCCCTTTTCCTTCTGCGACGATGAATTCGGACGAAGCGAGCGAGCCTCGAAGGAGAAGATCAAGAATTGGGCAAGGCCAAGCAGAGACCGCACAACAATGGCGAAGGCAAGAAGCGTACTGTCGAGCAAAATGACTCTGTCTCAATTGAGCCGAGGTGCGACAGCATCGCCCGACCCGTTGATACCCTATTCACCCACGACCCGACCCGACCCAGATTATGTGCTCTCTCATTGATTAAAGTTTTTTTCTTTCATTTTCTCTTTGCCCTTTTCCTGGAAAAAAAATGTTGGATATGTGGGCCCACTTTTCGAGCATTCAAATTACTATAATCATGCGTGTCGCCACCGGCATCATTAAGATGAGAGATTTTTAGGAACGAAATTTCTATTAAGAAGTTATTCGAATTCGTGATCACGTTTCTTGAGAAGTGACATGACATAAAAGGATAATGAATTGTTAAATATTAGACACAGATAATGATAACACTTCGCCCTTTCATATCAGTTTGCATTATTATCATTAGTGATTGCACGCAAAAAAATTGGAATGGCCAAAAGGATGGACGGTGAACCAAAAAGCACGAGCAAATGAAACGTGAGAACTTTCTTGGGCGATCAGGGCTCTAGTTGAGGAGAAAGAATGCTTGACGACCAATTATTTGTTTCTGTGCACGTGTTCTTGCTTAGTACCTAGCTAGCTACGACTTGGATCGAATATTTCGAGAAGGGCGGTGCAAGATCCTAATACAGTAACGGCAAGACGAGACAATTAATCATGACGATCACCCCTCCTCGTTATTCCGCTTGTAAAATAACAATCTATTCGTTTGGGTTTAGCAGATTATAACTAAAGGCCATACAACTCTATTGTTGGCACTAAATGTGAAATCCCTACGAAGCTAGCCAGCTAGCTAGCCTTCCTTCACCCCATATTAAAATTAATGCAAAATACTATTGGCCCGTCAGAGATAGGTCTTACGTGATAAGGCATGCTTAGCAAGTTATGATTTTAACATTATATCCAGCGCACTTCATATATTTTATAAGCATTTCGTTACAATTAGGAGCGTACCATTAGAATAGTACCACAGGTGGTATCATTATTATTGGAAATGCCCAAAGAAATTGCCATTTTAAGACCCAAAAGGATACCCCACAATTCTACTTAAGCCTGTTGCATAATTCATTACGTAGAAACTCGCCTATTGAAGCAAGGCCTAGGTTGCCTTTAGAAGCCTCATCAGTATTGAGCTTGACCCAACCAGTTGGAGGGCCGACCCAACCCACAAGCTTCTCTCTTTTGTCCCTCCGTGAAGACAATCAATATTGAGCCGATACAATGTCCTTAACATAATCTAGAATCAAGTATAAGGGTTCTCTAGTAAGACAAAAATCATTCTCAAATAATCGTTTCGTTAGGCGAGTTTTGATGTAACATTTGGGTTTGTCCCTTTTTAATAATACAAAAAATGCCCAAAATGCCTTCACGACGCACAAATTCGAACTAATGTATACATGAGACTCGTGTTTTTCCGCATGATTATTGATGCTTATCACAATTTTTTAACTACCTTCATTCTCTCCCTCTTTCATAACTACAAATTTAGTGGCTACTCTTGGCACTAAGTTAGCCACTGATCATCCATAACACAACTCTAAAGGTTGGTTAGCTAATGCTTAAAATGGTTGAATTGTTTGACTTATTTTCTGCTTCCCTTGTTGTGGGCATGAGTTCCATCTTGATCCTCTCTCAAACCATCGTTCTTCAATTGTCCTACCTAATTCCACGCTCAAATTTCATGTATCCAAAAGTCCAAATCCCAAAATGTTTCCATTTGGATATATTCACAACACTAGCACGAGTGGGAGCTAGCTAAGAGTTTCATTCTTTGATAATCAAGTCATCTTTAAGGTGCCCAAATTTGTAAACCGCTCCAAGTACTCGCCTCCAAGGTTAGCGAATCTATAGGGACTGAAGCGGTGATTCACTTTATACTTTTTATCCTTATTTGATTTTTAGCTTAAAATATTGGAAGTATCATAGGTCTATCGATTGATCGTGATGACCAAATAAGAGACAAGACCATAGTATGAAGAGGTCTTAGATGATTGTACTGTGGATGACGTCATATTGCTGAGGGAAAATAACACAAATGATCCCTAAACTTTGGTTAATGTGCAATATGGTTCTTTAACTTTCAATTTGTTCAATGCGGTCCTTAAACTTTAGTCCAGTGTGTAATATGATTCCTGAACTTTTAATTTATTCAAAGTGGTCACTGAACATCTAGTATATGTTTAAACTAGTACTTAGACAGTATGAAAATGTTCAATATTATCATTCCATTAATATAAGTTCAGGAATAACATTGAACATTTTCATTTAATCCAGGGACTAGTTTAAACATGTACCCAAAGTTAAGGGACCACGTTGAATAAATTAAAAGTTGAGGAACCATATTGTACATTAGGCTAGAGTTCATGGAGCACATTGAATAAATTGAAAGTTCATAGACCACATTGCACATTGGGCCAAAGTTAATGGACCATTTGTATCATTATTCCTTTTGTTGATGTAAGATTAAAATGATTCTCGTTGATGCGTACTTATGCTTTTGTTATGAGATAGTTATTGATATTACACGAAAAATCCATTACGTTCATGAAGTCATTAGAAGATGGTACGGGTCATTTTATATATAACGACTATCTTTCATGGATACAATGTAAAAAACGTGGCTGAGCAATTTCAAGAAAATTTTCAATGACTTTAAAGAGTATAAGGTACTAGAAGGATGAAATTTATGCATGTAAAGGTGTAAAATAGTATTTTCGTAAAACAAGGGCGAAAAAGTAAATTCACAGGATGCAAGTTCTTCTGTGAACATTGAACTTTTATCAAATGAAGTGATCATTAGTTAGTGAGTAAACTAGATTAATTAAGGGAAATAAAATCTGGTAAATAGTATAAGTATTGTAGAATACGGGCCATTTTGTAGTTTTAGAAAGTTAGAGGTCTCGTCTTTTAAAATTGAAAACTTTGGCGGCTTTTTACATGTTAAGGACGCTTATGATGGTAGGTACGTTCCTATTTAAGTTTAATATTAATTGCCTTATTTAGACAATCTCTCCTATTAGTCAAAATTTAGACTTAATTGCACAAATATTTTGAAAAGTGGGTTGTTTTTTGGTAATTTTAGGAAATCTGAGATATGCATATGGCGTCAATGAGAGAGTCTATTGATCAAATAGCAGACGAATGGCCTTAGCTAATTAATTTGATTAGTAGAGCTAAGTTAAGAGAAAATTTGAGATAAAGAGTACAATTGTAGATTAAAAAATTGTGTAGGGTTCATCTTGTAATTTTGTTAAGATTGAATCCCAAAAATTGATGTAAATATGACAATAAGAGTGACTTTAGTCTTGATATTCTCTTGGAGATCAAATTATAAACGTTTTAGTTGTGAAATTAGTTTAGTGTAAAAGTACATTTTGTATAAAGGATGATGTAAGCTTGCCATATATTTTAGTTTTTAATGGCCAAATCAGGAACAATCATAAATTCATGTGAAGATAAAAGAATTCTTTAAGCTCTTAGATTGAATGATCATTGCTTTATGATTAAAGTTTGTGAGTTTACAAATGGTAATAAATGCATATTAGGTTTCTATTGTAAATATGAAAAATGTCAAGATATTAGGTGGTATTATTTTATTTTTTTGGTCGAAAGGTGATATTATATTATTTGTACATAATATCACCTTAAAAAAAGTTATAAATAAGGTGATATTATTTATACTGTTATTATTTAGTTGCACATGGCAATTGTTACGGTGTAATGATTTGAATGTCGGTGATATCATGTGATGAATATCTATACCACAACCTATTTACCGGTGAGGGAACTCCATGTGTGAGTACGTGTATAAGACTCTAATAAAAGACAAATGTTCTGCAGGTTGAGAGCACATGAAGTCATAAGGTTCATACACGAAATGATATGGCTTATTATCCTCATATGGCTTGAGCAACTTGTCATGCATGCGATATTTATAGAGTTGAGGTCCAAGACTGAGAAAAGAAAGAAATTGAGTTGACTATGAATTTTGATGAGAATAAGCATGGCATAGCTATCATCATGAGGTTGCATAGTAATGTATTTGTCCTTGCTGATGTAGATGGCCCCCCCGTAATAGAATGTGTCTGGTGTGGTGAGATGTGTTCATGATTCTATCCTCACGAGTTGGTGCTGAGGATGCATCATTAATTGAGATGTGTTCATGATTCTATCCACCACGTCTTTTATCTAATGTATTTCACATGCTGAATGAAGTTCTGCGTCGATTTGCTGGTTGTTTCGTGAGCAATTCCCTCATTTCGAGTCGTTTCCCACACATGGGGGGGGGTGGGGGGTGGGGCGATCTCTCTGAGAAGCATGCAATGGGGGGTTTAATTAGAACCCGTGAATGCAACTAAAATACCATGCAGCTCCAAATTTTTTTGTCCTGATGAACTGTTCTTGACTTGGGGAGTTGATGTCAACTTTTAATAAGTAGTTTCGGTGAAGATGCAGCTACCGGCGATGTCAGAATCTGCTCGAACTCACGTTGTGCAAAACGAGATGTCGTTTCGCGGGATTTTCTTAACCTTTGAGTTCAACTAGGTCTCCTGTGCACCTTTGATTACAAACTTCGATGTGTTGCCGAATGTACGTTATTCACGTGTTATCTTCTCCCTTCTCTCTCTCTCTCTCTCTCTCTCTCTCTCTCTCTCTCTCTCTCTCTCTCTCTCACTTCTTTTGTTTTTTCATTAAGGAGACCTTGGGCATTTGGTCAAGAACAGTCAGCTACTTGTTTTGAAAGCGTGCCTCAGGAGCAGTCTGCCTCCCACCCACCCACCAAATAAGCAGAGATTTTTCTGAAGCAGACACGACACATGAACTAAACTACCCAGCCAAAGCCAAAACTTAAAACCTTTAAAAAAAAAACAAAATTTGCACATGAAGAACACAGTTATTCTAGAGAGAGAATCTGAGGGAACTGAGGATAAGCAAGAATCTCATCCATTAGCAGAAGTATACGAGTGAGTGTGTTCGCTCATCCAAATATTTTTAGACAACGATTGGAGAATCATTGGCGTATCATATGCTCAAAATTCAGGAGTTTGAATTCCGTTTCCCTAATGGTGGGAAGATTAGTTAAGGGACCAATTAGGCAGGGATTGACTTGGATTAAATGGAGCCAGTTCATGACCCTGCTGCTTTCACTTGATGACAACGCATGGCATGTATCCAAAAAGTCCAAATTCTAAAAATGTTCCCATTTGGATGTATGCACAACACTAGCACGAGTGGAGCCAGCTAAGAGCTTCCTTCTTTGATAATCAAGTCATCTTTAAGGTGCCCCAAATTTGTAAACCACTCCAAGTACTCACCTCCAAGGTGAGTGAATCTATAGGGACTGAAGCAAGTTGATCCACTTTACACTTTTGATTTTTAGCTTAAAATATTGGTAGTATCGTAAATCTATCGATTAATGGTTACGTCATGACCAAATAAGAGACAAGACTATAGTATGAAGAGGTATTAGATGATTTTGTACTAAGGATGATGTCATATTGTTGATGTAAGATTAAAATGATTCTCGTTGATGCGTACTTATGCTTTAGAGATGAGATAATTATTGATATTACATGAAAAATCCATTATGTTCATGATGCCATTAGAAGATGTTACGAGTCATTTTATATATAATGACTATGTTTCATGGATACAACGTTAAAAACTTGGATGAGCGATTTCAAGAAGATTTTGAATGACTTTGATGAGTAAAAAGTACTAGAAAGATGAAATTTATGCATGTGAAGGCGTAAATATTTTTGTAAAATAAGGGCAAAAAAGTAAATTCACAGAATGCAAGTTCTTCTGTGAACATTGAACTTTTATTAAATAAAGTGACCATTAATTAGTGAGTATAATAGATTAATTAAGGGAAATAAAATCAGGTAAAAAGTATAAGTTTGTAGAATATGGGCCATTTTGTAGTTTCAAAAAGTTAGAGGTCTAATTTTTTAAAAATTGAAAACTTTGGCAGCTTTTTACATGCTAAGGATGCTTGTGATTGTAGATTCCTATTTAAGTTTAGGGATATGTGCATTGAAAGTTCTAAAACTTGTCATGAAAATGCAATTGAATCCTAAAACTTACAAAACGTGCAATCAAGTCCTAAAACTTGTCAAATTTGTACAATCGAATTCTTCCATTAACTTCGTCCAGCTTAGTTAACGGAAAATGCGGACGTAGTTCTTTTTAAATGTTTTCTCTCTCTTACTTAGCGATGACGTGATTATAACAAGAAACAGAAGACCAAAATGACGTCATTTTGATCCAAATATAATTTTTAATGCAATTTTTAAAAAAAAAATTAAAAAAAGAAAAGAAATGTTGACACCAAGCGACAAGGTCTTGCATAGCCCTCGCCGCCGCCGCCCCACGATCGCCTGCAATGGCCGGCGGGGGTCACCAGGGCCCGGCCAGTGGCCAATGACCATCGTTGGCCGGCGATCGTGGGGCGGCAGCCTGGTCTCGACCCTTTTCTTTTTTTTAATTTAGCTTAATTTTAAATATAAGTTACGTAATATTAACATTGAAAGTCAGATTTGGACCAAAACGATATCGTTTTAGCCACGTAGGAGAAAGAAAATAATAAAAAAAGTCACGTCAACATTTTCCGTCAATCAAGTTGGATGAAGTTAATGGAAGAACTCGATTGCACTAATTTGTGATGTCATTTCGTGGGTTTTTTTAACCTTTGAGTACAATGAGGTCTCCTGGGCACCTTTGATTACTAACTTCGATGTGTAGCCGAATGTACGTTATTCACGTGTTATCTTCTCCTCTCTCTCTCTCTCTCTCTCTCTCTCTCTTCTTTTTGTTTCATTAAGGAGATTCTGTGCATTAGGTCAAGAACAGTCGGCTCCTTGTCCTGAAAGCGTGCTTCAGGAACAGTCTGCCTCCCACCCACCTACCGAAGAAGCAGAGATTTTTCTATGCAGCGAGGAAGCGCACACGACACTTGACACATGAACCACCCCAGCCAAAACCAAAAGTTAAAACCTTAAGAAAAATAGAACTTGCACATCTGAGGGAAGTGAGGATAAGCAAGAATCTCATCCATTAGCAGAAGCATACAAGTGAACATGTTCGCTCATCCAAATATTTTTAGACATGGATTGGAGAATCATTGGCGTATAATATGCTCAAAACTCAGGAGTTCGAATTCCATTTCCCTAATGGTGGGAAGATTAGTAAAAGGACCAATTAGGCAGGGATTGACTAAATTAAATTGTGCCAATTAAAGACCCTACTGCTTTCACTCGATCATCACCAAGCCGTGATTGTCGATGCGCAGCGACAAGGATATTCATTAGAACTCTTGGCAAGATACCTGCTCATCAAAAGGACAATTTAAACTCTCAAAGTGGGCAAATACACAGAACACTTCGAGGACAGGCTATCAAGAGCTAGTTTCTATGAAGGTTTACCAGCCTAAACATATATGAGATTCATTTGCATCTGATAGAGTGAAAAATGGAATCTGCATATGCAATTAATCCACGTAATGTTCATTACCTCTTACTACTAAGCTAATTCACGGGACTTGTTTGGTGCGTTTTCAGTATCTCGAGTGCTCCAAGAATACGAAGTCTCCATCCACGCAAGCCAATTACCTCATGCGAAGTGAAAGAAGAATAAAAACAAAATTCATGGTGGTTGACTCGGGTGGACACAGAAATGTCATTTTCCGGAGGACGTCATCTGTGTTCCTTCGAAGATCTATAACCAAGCCTGTGAACGAAGGTCCACCGTTTGACACTTGTGTGTTACTTATGTTTATTATCACCTCGACGACAACATCCGATACAGCAAATCGAATCTTATGTGCAGACCACATGTTTGCATCGTTCCTAGGAGGACGAAAGCGAGCGTAGTGGATTACAACCAAACGAAGAAAGCCGAGCTGAGAACGAGCCGGCCGGATCAACCAGTGAGGTGATGCCAGACTGAACAGCCGAAGGGCGGAGGAGCTAGCGGGACGTGGCAGCAAAAGAGCTCGGTCAACTCGGCCACTTTCGAACTCACAGCTATAGCTTCATCGCAAGAGCCAATCATGCGAGTGAGCTGAGTTCAGGGGACCGAGTGAAAACGTCAAGAGCTCGCGTCCAAATGCGTTCCCAGCGACTGAGCTTTCGCTTCGTTAGCTCCAAAGCGGAATCAATGGCCTGTGCTCACTTCCTTCTTTACTTCCACGGACGTTGTCTCAACCCACAACGATTTCTTTTTGGCTCTTCTACACCAACGTCTTCTCTTAATTAAAATGGAGACACTCTTAAAAACGAGCATCTTCTAGCTTATTCTTGTATTCAGAAAATGATTAAGGGTTTGCTCGTTTAGAATTAAGTTCAAGGAAAAAATACTTTTTTTGCTTTCTCATCAAAATTCAAAGTTCATCCAAATTTCAAAAAAATTATGAAAAATGTGTGAATTATGCGTCATTTGCATATTATGAAAGTTTTACTTTTTTAGGATTTAAAAAAGTCAAAGTGCCTACATCGCAGGAACGAAATTAAGCAAAAAGCAAAAAGTGAAAGTATATCCAAATTCGTCCTAAGTTTTCATGAGGTTGTGTTAAAAAATAGATATATTTTGGCTTCCTATGCCTATCAATGCGATCTGTCTCTAGCAAAATTTCGTTCAGACTTTAAAAACTCTATTTTTTCATATCTTAATCGATGAAATATAATCAAACCCTTTAAGAGCACTTTTTAACATTTCTTGTTCATATATCTAGCACAACTGTTTGCTCTTATAAGTACATATCCTCATGGTTGATTAATAAAAGGATTTTAAGTAGATGCATAATGGTTGATTAAGAAAGAGTCAAAGACAGGCAGAATCAGAATTACGTAAAAGCAGCGGGGCATTGTTGCAACATCACTGAGAAGCTAATTAAGATCTGATGAAGCATATAAAAACCAGCAAACGTAAGGCATCAGATGCCCATCTTAGTCGATGGAAAACACCTCTTTTGATGAATAAACCTCTTCTTTATTATCCCTAACCAATCTCTTCTCTGCCCTTCACGGTGTCTCGTGCTTCATCTCTACCCGATCCTCTCCACCCTCTGTCCAGATCTCTCGCGAAACAAACGCTTAACCCGCAACTTCCGTAGATCACTAGATTTTGGTCGCGTTGTATTGGTTAGCCATGGCCATGGCCATTGATCATGTCGCCATGATGGAGTTTTCAGGCCACAGCGGCACCACCACCGATGAGCTCGGTGGTGGCTGCTGCGACTGGAGTGACTGGTCGCCGATGGTTGACTGGGACGCCGTCCCCGGCAGCCGCGGCCGCGATGGCTTCCATGACCTCATGGAGTCCATGTTGGAAGACGGGACTGGGCCCGGCCAGCACCACCTACCTCCACAGTGGTGCGACTCTCCTCCTTCCGTGCACACCGTGATTAACGACATGGAAGGCGACGAGACCGACGGCCACGATTTCAAGGGGCTGAGGCTAGTCCACCTTCTGATGGCCGCGGCTGAGGCGCTGAGCAGCAAAGGCGAGAACAGCGAACTGGCTCGGGTGATATTGGTTCGGCTCAAGGACTTGGTCTCCCCGGCCTCTGGCGGCGACGGGACCAACATGGAGCGGCTCGCAGCGCACTTCACCGACGCGTTGCACGGCTTACTGGAGGGTGCGGGCGCGGCGTCCTCCGGTGGCGGCGGGAAGCACTCGATTCGTGGCCTGCCCCACCGTGAAGAAGGGTGTTACAGTCAAACGGACATGCTCGCGGCGTTCCAGCTGCTGCAGGACATGTCGCCGTACGTCAAGTTCGGGCACTTCACGGCCAATCAGGCCATTTTGGAGGCGGTGGGTCATGATAGGCGGGTCCACGTAGTGGACTATGACATAATGGAGGGGGTCCAATGGCCCTCCCTAATGCAGGCCCTCGTCTCTCAAAAGGGCGGCCAGTCGGCCCCACACCTCCGGATCACGGCACTCTCAAGGGCCAGCAGCGGACGCCGGACTGCCACAACTGTTCAGGAGACAGGCCGCCGCCTGGCAGCGTTCGCAGCTTCGCTTGGGCAGCCCTTCTCGTTCAACCAGTGCAGGCTGGACCCGGGCGAGACATTCCGCCCTGCCGCCCTCAAGCTGGTCCGGGGCGAGGCGCTGGTCATCAACTGCATGCTGCACCTGCCTCACTCCACCTACCACGCGCCTAGCTCGGTCGCCTCGTTCCTGTCCGGGGCCAGGGCCCTGAGCCCAAGGCTGGTGACGCTGGCGGAGGAGGAGGCGGGGCCCGGGGGAGGCGGCGGCGGAGGGTTCGTGGGCCGGTTCATGGACTCGCTGCACCACTACTCGGCCGTGTACGACTCGCTCGAGGCCGGGTTCCCGATGCAGGACCAGGCTCGGGCGCTGGTGGAGAGGGTGTTCTTGCGCCCGAGAATAGCCGGGTCGCTGGCAGGCGTGTACCGGGCCAGGCAGGGCGAGGAGGAGGGGTCGGGGTCAGGGTCGGGGAGGGGCCGCTCTTGGGGGGAGTGGCTGGGTGCGGAGGGGTATAGGCCGGGCAGAGTGAGTTTTTCAAATCACTGTCAAGCGAAGCTCTTGGCGGGTCTGTTCAGCGACGGGTACAGGGTGGAGGAGGTCGCCGGAAACAGGCTCGTTCTAGGCTGGAAATCTAGGCGTTTGCTCTCTGCTTCCATTTGGACCGCTTCCTCTGATGATCCCGATTCATTCAATTAGAACAGAACTATCATTCTGCCGGAAAGAAAATTCGTATGATGATCGTCATCATTTGCTCCTCCTTTTTTGTCTGGGAGCGAGGAAGAAAATATCGAAGTCACTTTTATGTGAGACCAGCTCTCTTTTTTCTTATCTTTCATGATTGATGATCATGCGAGAACTAAGCTTTAATAATAACTTGAAACAAGGTTGTCCAGGGGAGATGAATGTCGTTCGTTGCACTTTTGGTCTTGATAGTGGCAAGTCGCCCTCTCAGGACCACACGGTTCAAGATCGGCCCGAACGAAAAACTTCGGACAAAATTGCTGAAATATGCACGGCACTTTGTAGATTATTCAAAGAAAGCAACTCACGATCATGATTCACATCTTCAACACTATTTCACATGGGAAGGCTGATATATGGATGAAAGGCAAAAAGCTTGCAATTTCAATAAGCATAGGTAAAAATGAGTTTTTTGGAAATAGAAATGTTTGTGAGTATTCGAAACTCATAAATGGGAGATATCGTGTTATAATTCGGCCATAAATAACCATTTTTTCTTGCTGGGGAATTATTATTCAAATAGCCTAAGCACAATTAAGAGTGAAAAGAACCATCTACGAGTTTTAGTACGCATTTCGTTTAATTATTCATTACGTTATAGTTCGTGTATTTTAACTACTCAACTTTCATTTTATTCAGTGAATCTAATTGTTAAAATTTTAATTATTTATTGTGTAATGCATTAAATATTTTGAGTGGCCCTAACATGTTCTTCTATTTATAGCAACAAATTTCAAAATGATAGTCAATCAAACGAGATCCGGTTTTTCTTCTCTGACATGCGATAGAAATATTATGTCGATCATGATAACTATTGCAACCAAGAAGAACATATTTGTCACTCTTTGACCTTTTTATAGAGACGTCAACATATACTTGAGCAAGAAGATGCGTTCGCACACTACGCAAAAAATCCCGTGGCGTTAAAATTTTACATGGTAAAGTTTAAAATGAACTTGTTTACACGATTGATTGCTATTCTCATTCGCAATTTCACCATTAATAGATACATTTAAGCAAAAAACAATATTGTCTTCCATATAGTGCAATGAAAGATAAGTAAATTGTGTACAATGCATACATCAACCCCAGTATTGAAGTTGAAATTCACGATTGTGGGGGTAATTTAGGGAAATAAAGTAAACAATTTGCAGATAGAACTAGTATTTCTTTACTCCGATATATAATTAGTGCTTGCTCAGTATACAAAAATGGAGAATAAGTTCAGAAGAAAGACAAATGTGAAGGAAACGCTATAATGCAATGGGTGCGAGAAGCGGCTAGGTGAAAAAAAATTGTTTGAAAGGGATGTGAGTAGTTTTATCTTTTAGTAAAATTGAAACCAAAGAAAAATAAGAAATAATGTAAGAAATAATCTTAAATCAAGAGTGAGACTCGCAGAGGATAATATAGTTAATTCAGTGTGACAAGGGGTTGTCAGGGCTAATAAGGAGGTGGAAATAGCACGAGCCTGAATTAATCGGTTATGCGGACCATACGTCATCGTTGTATTGAGATATGTACCTACTAAAATTGGTTGGTGTATTGTATTCATTGACTTTTCGTTTCTTTGCTGATGCAAACCGGGCTGGGTGCAAACTCACCTGACTTTTTACCACCGGTTATTGTACTTTTATCTGCTCAAATTGTATTTCATGGCGTGCCAAGAAACAACTTACCGTGGCTCGCTCCACAGCTGAAGCCAAATATCGTGCTCTTGCTTCCGCAATTATTGAACTCACTTGGATTTCATACATACCGCGTGACATTGGGATCTACCAACATCAACCTTCGTTACTTTTCTTGAACAATATGTCAGCAGTACATCTCACAACTAATCCATTTTTTCATGCTCAGACAAAGCACATTGAGATCGATTATCATTTTGTTGGGGAAAAGGTTGTTCTTAGTTCCATTGTAACTCACTATATTCCGTCTTCCTCACAAAATGCTGATATTTTCACCAAATCATTGACTCAAGATAGGTTTGTCGGTTTACTAATCAAACCCGGTCTCTAGTCCTCCCATTGACCGATTTGAAGGGGAGTATTGAGGTAACAAATCAAAAGGCAAAAAGTTAGAATGGTTGCAGTGCAGAATCCTCTACAAATCAGCATGAAGATAACATGTCAAGCAGAGTATCCACGAGTTGATCATTTTGGAGATTTTTTCTGATTTGTATTTTATTCAATTCCCATATAAATCAAATTGTTATATTGTATCTTTAACTCCTACCATAATTATAGGTAATGATATCTCTGTTTATACTGTACAGCATATCAATGAAAAGTAACACTTCATCGACTCAATTCTTTGTTTTCTTTAATTACTAAAATTGGTTGGTGTATTCATTGACTTTTATTTCTTGGGTACATCACAAAGTTGAAGTCCGAAAATGGTTAGTGATGCAATGGCCTCTACCAATTGTATCGATATTTCTCTATTTACTAATGTAATCGTATCATTGCCTTTGCCATCTTACTCTCAGCCCAACATGAGAAAGCCCATGATCCTAATCTCTTCGAAGAAGTCCAATAGCATCGCGCGTCGTGTCTCACGCTCACGCCGCCCATGCCGCCCACGCCGATTCGGAGATTCCCGAACGGAGTCCGGATGGAGTCCAAGTTCATCCCCCCGCCCCGACGATCTCGCCGTTGACTCCGACACTCAGCACAGCAACTTCCGCTTTCTCCGCTTTCGAACCCTAAAAGCTTAGTCTGCGCTCAAATGCAGGCGCAGTGCACCTGGTCGTGCCGCCGTGAGATGCTCGGTGCGCTGACATCGAAATCCTCCTCCCTCTTCGCTTCCTTCTCCGGGCATCTCCAGCGCCGGTCCTCCGCAGCAGCCGCGAGCGGAAGACGCCGGCCGCCTTCGTTCGCCGCCATGTCCACCGTCGCCACCGAGAAAGAGGCGGCCCCGAACCGGAAGGAGTCGGGCGGCCAGCCCTTGCAGGTGGTTTTCGGGTTTCGGTTTGAGTTGTGATTGATTGCAATTCGTGTGTGTGTGTACGCGCGTGCGCGCCATAGTCGGGATCGAGCTGAGACCGAGTAGTGCGATGTGGGTTGTTGTTGTTTAATCCTCTCGGTGTGAGGATGCTTTGAATGCGAGCTTCCAGAGTTTGGATTTAATTGTCTATCCGATTTTGTTGATATGTGTTTGGAGTTTATATACGTTTGTGTACTCTGTTTTTATCAACGTAAATCTCTGTCGCAACTCGCGAGTAGCCCCGTTTGCTTTTTTCCCACGCCATCTTTCGGTGTCGTTCTTATCGAGGGGTGGTTGGTTGCGTTGTCCGAAAGTCTTGGCGCTTTTGGTCGGAGCAATTAGGAATTCTGCCATTACACTTTTGTGATTGATCATTCCTAAGTTGTAATCGAGGCCCGAGCGGTCGAGTACTGCAACTACAGTGGTGTGATGGTGTATAGTCATTGGATTTTTCTTGTTCGGCCTTTGGTCTAGTTGTTTGATGTTTGTCAAATGCTATGCCGCTGATCCGTAGATACGGGATATTACACGTGGGGTTTAGGAGTTAGATGCCTCTCTATTCGGCTTTTTCCCTTTTTGCTATATCACTTGACAGTATCTCTTTGGGCTTCTTAACTCTTGTTACCCATAAAAGAAGAAGAAAGGAATGTGTTTGTTGTTCTGCATTCTTGTGTTTGACAATTCAGAGGCCAGATATTAATCCCGTGTTCAGGATGAGTCTAAGACTTGTTTGTAAATTCACAAACTATTTGTGAATCTATCAGAAAAATGCCTGTCTGCATGTCATATGGATCCATGCCACTTAATAGGGAACTTGACTGTTTATATAGAGATTGGGCTAGGCAGTTGCTGCCTAATTTAATTGCGTCGAATAGCTCTAAAGAAATTGGAAGAACTTCAGATTACACCATGAAATTTCATAAATTAGAAGTGATGCCTATCTCTTCCACCGAAGCTGGAGCCTTCAGATTAATGATGCTCTGCTTCCCTTCTATGTAAACAGAAGGTTGGTAGAGCCTACATCAAGTTCAATGTACAAGGTCCTTTTCTCTCCCTGGGAATTACACTGGTGATCAGAAGTGGAATCGATCGCTAGGCTAAATTTCTGCTCTTTCCTACTCTTTCCCATCCTTTCATAATATTAGTAATGTATTTCTGTGGGCCAATATTAGTAGCCTGCTTGGTTGTTGTAGTGGTCGGTACAATATTGCTGTTATTGTCTTCTAATCTACTAATGGCTTTGCTCCAACAGCTTATATTTCTGATGCTCGTTACATTGGAAGGTGCCTAACCGAGTGTGGTTTGACTGTTGATATCCTCGCTGATTGTAATGAAGCATCTGTACATAAAATTATTATTGAACTTTAAATATAACAGAAGGAAATATATTGACCGTCTTATTCCTGAATTGGAGCGGAGAAGGTTTGCCCCTTTTAGTGGAAATAAGGCAACTGTCGGAAACAAAGAGCTTCATATGAGCACTATTACCTATTGCACATGCAGTGGTAGATTCAGGAAAGTTCTGGAAATACCGGAAACTGATGGATTTTAATAGTGAAAACAACTGTTAACTCTGGATATCACTTGATATTGCAGCTAGCAAACAACAGACACTTTACTCGCATGACCTTTGGCTTTTTTTGCAGGTTGCCCAATAGTAATGTATTTTGCCCCAGAACCATCACGGTTCTGCTTTGTGTTTCTGGATTCTTTAGGTTAAATTGACCTGCAAGGAGAGTCGGATTCCTCCGCCCCCTCTTTTTTTTCAAGGGTTGATATTTGTTTTATAAATGGGTTGGCATGCCGTTAGTGCTTCATGAAGAATTTCTCTTTACTTGTCAATAATAAAGAAAGAAAGGAAATATTGTTGTCTGGGCTTTGCTCCATTTTCTCAATGTAATTGTCTGGTAAAACTTGGCTTTATTAAAATTGATGATTTTGTGTAGTAACATGATCTTTTTTCCCTTTTGTTGCTCTAATGTAACACAGTTTTGTTCCTATCCAGGTTGCAAAGCGCTTGGAGAAATTTAAAACAACAATATTTACACAAATGAGTATGCTTGCCATCAAATATGGAGCCATAAACCTTGGACAGGGCTTCCCCAACTTCGATGGACCTGAATTTGTAAAGGAAGCAGCAATTCAAGCAATTCGGGATGGCAAGAACCAATATGCCCGGGGTTATGGAATACCAGACTTGAACTCTGCTATAGCTGCTCGGTTCAAGAAGGACACTGGCCTTGTGGTGGACCCTGAGACGGAAGTTACTGTTACCTCCGGGTGCACTGAGGCAATTGCTGCAACTATATTAGGATTGATAAATCCTGGTGATGAAGTGATCCTCTTTGCTCCTTTTTATGACTCTTATGAAGCCACTCTGTCTATGGCTGGTGCCGATATAAAATGCATCACGCTGCGCCCCCCGGATTTTGCCGTCCCCATTAACGAGCTCAGGTCTGCAATATCGAAGAAAACCCGTGCGATACTTATGAACACCCCCCATAACCCTACTGGAAAGATGTTCACTCGGGAGGAGCTTAATGAGATTGCTTCTCTCTGCATTGAAAATGATGTTTTGGTTTTCTCCGATGAAGTCTATGAGAAGCTGGCTTTTGAGATGGATCACATTTCCGTTGCCTCTCTTCCTGGGATGTACGATCGAACAGTGACCATGAATTCCTTGGGGAAGACGTTCTCATTGACCGGATGGAAGATTGGATGGGCTATTTCTCCTCCACACTTGACGTGGGGAGTGCGGCAGGCGCACTCTTTCCTCACGTTTGCTACTTCCACCCCTGCACAGTGGGCCGCCGCTGCAGCACTGAGAGCCCCTGATTCTTACTACGTGGAATTAAGGAGGGATTACGCAGCAAAGAAGCAAATTTTGGTGGAGGGATTGAAGGAGGCTGGTTTTAAGGTATTCCCTTCAAGCGGCACATACTTTGTAGTTGTAGATCATACCCCTTTTGGTCTGGAAAATGATGTCGCGTTCTGCGAATTCTTGATCAAAGAAGTTGGAGTGGTGGCGATCCCGACTAGCGTATTTTACTTGAACCCGGAGGAGGGTAAGAACATAGTGAGATTCACATTCTGCAAAGATGAGGGAACTCTGAGGTCTGCGGTCGAGAGGATGAAGGAGAAGCTGAAGAAAACATAAAAGGGGGAGCGATCAGGATCAACCTCAAGCAAACTGTGTCAACGGACGAATTCTTTGTAACATCGAGCATCTAGTACCGGAGATCATCGGATTCTTGATCGTAAGTCGCCAATGATAGTTGAACTTATGATGCGATGATGCTGTTCCAATTGATTTATCTGCGATATGAGGCAACTGTCACAAAGACGCCATAATATGAACTGAATAATCCTTTGCTAAATTTCGTGGCTGTTCTATGTTTATCTGTGAGACAGGTCAGGCTTATTGAGTTTGTAGTCTCCCTTGGCCCCCCTTAACGCAGTTAGAATTAGCATCTTTTGGGCTGGCCCGGCGCATTGCGGTGCGATATGGGGCACGGTTTCCATAAGAAACCAAGAAGAAAAGAGCCGGGTAAAGGCATCGATGACCATGATTTGCCATCCATCATGTCGTTCGTGACCAATTCAGCAATTGAGAATTCTCCAACGGGGACAGTTGATTCTGTTCCCCCTTGTCCAAGGAACACGCGGGGCCTTTTCGGAAAGTAAGGGAAGGCCCCTAAAATAAATCGGTCGTCATTACCTATGGTTCTCGTTCGCGCAAACATAAGACTTTTTTGCTCTTGTCAAAGTAGACGGCCGAAACCTTCGTCGCGAGAAAAATTCAAAAATCCGATTCTAATGGAGGGTAAGATGGATCCTCCCCATGTCAGGTTGTTCAGCAAAATCGGCCGTATTAAAGACGACCGAACTCCTCATGAAATTTGCCGCCCAGAAAACATCGGCGGGGCCCCCCCAACGACGCCGTACTCCGATCGCATTGAAGGCGTTTCACCAACAACAACGCCTCGCGAACGTTTTGATTCTCGGTCCCCCCCACGTCCTCCACAGTTGAAACAACGATGGTGTCTTTCCTTTTTTCCTCATTCGGAAATCGAAAGGGAAAAGGAATTGTTTAATTCGAGAAAAAAAATGACACGTATAATTCATGAACTTTGGTTTAATGTGAAACATCGTTCCTGAATTTTTGTATTTGTTCCATATGGTCCCTAAATTTTGATCTAATATTCAATCTGGTCCTTGTATTTTTTCTTTCCTTCTTTATTTATTTTTTCCCCTATGTACCTAGGATCATTATTAAACTGTCGAATAGTCTTCGAACTAATTAGAAACATAAATCGCGGTGTTCGTTTGGCATTACTGTAGTCAAGAAGCGCCAGGCCATGAAGGAAATGCTCGCACGAGTTCAGGTCAACACGAACTATAGCTCCACTATTGTCGTCGATCGCATGGGTCCACACGAGACCTTCACGCAATCAATGGTTAGTATTATATATATCATATGGATCCAGAGATCCGTGCTAAGTTTTTTTTTTTTTTTGTGCTACAATCAGTGTGTGTTGGACAAGTTTTTATAGGGTACTCTCGATCTGCGCTGGCCGACTCTATATCATGTGGATCCAACATTATCTCATCATTGATTTAACGACTGATGTGCTACGAATTAACGTTAGCCGGGAATCTCGAATATGTTACCATGCTTCATATATAATATAGATAATGATGATGATCATTAGAGCGAAGCTTAGGGACCAAAGCTCACTTAATGGTTCGTGTTGAACCACCAAAGTATGACTTGCAATCTTATGGTAGGATGAAGCCATTATATGTTTTGGGGGAAAGCATAGTCGGACATGGAGCATGTCCAAGTTAACTCACTAGGCACATGGTCTAATGGTAAGGAAATCGGGTGGCATGGAGATGTTTCGTTTTAAGTGTGACGGTTTGATTCCTACATTCTGCAAAGAGATAGAATAGAAATCCAAGAGAGGGAGAGGTGAGTTATAGTAGAACAGACAAAAAAAAAATCTGTAATCTAACCCACAAAACTTTTTAATCTACTTAGCACCTCCATCTATTGAAAGAAGAGCTTCTTAATGAGTTTGGAATAATGCCTATTAGAAATACAAAATCCTTGTCTTCTCACTCAAAACTGTTCCTATACTTTTAAGAATGTTTATTGTTCTTCTCTTCATCGCTACCGGATTTTGTTGACGTAAACTTAACGTCATAAATGACATTTGCGTTGTATGGATTAGCGACACGACGTCCATTTTAACATTTCAATAAGCAATTCAACGAAAGGACTAGATGACAGACATTTTCTAAAATGCACAAGCATCAGTTACAAAAAGCATATAAGATCGATTTTACACCGCGTTGGTTTGGCAATTCTGCAGCTGAGATGCGACGAGCCACGAGTGAAATGCTCGCACGGATTCGGGTCAACATGGACCGGCTCCTCTATAGTGGCCGATCACATGGATCCCGCGCGAGACCTTAACAGTATCAATGGTCAGTATCGTGCACATCATATAGCATGTTCGTCAAGTTTCTTTTTTTTCGAGCACTCCCGACCTACATTGGCCGACGATTCTCTATCACGTGGATCCCGCATTATCTCCTCACCGATCTAACATACTAATGTGCAGTGAATTAGGGCGCGAATGATAACCATTTTATTCCACAAATCAATTTCTGGCCAGAAATATTTTATTTCTGTTTCTGTTTCTGTTTCATGGACGAGTTTGAGCCAAAATATGTGTTTAATAACAATACAAAATTTCTCCCTCCCGAGCGGCTGGCAGGTGGCGACGGGAGGCGAGCGGCCGTGAGAGGTGGTCGGCGTTGGGCAGTAGTGGAGGACGGCGGCCGGCGGCGGAGGACAACGACGGGAGGCAGCGGAGGACAACGACAGGAGGCGGTGAAGAACAACGACAGCGGGAGGTGGTCGGTGTTAGGCGGCAGCGGGTGGCGACTGGCCACAGCAGGAGGCGGCCGGCGGCGAAGGACGATGGGAGGCGACTGCATTGGGTGGCAGAGGCAGGCAGATGACGTGAGACGGCGGTGAGAGGCGGCCGGCGGGCAGCAAGGGTGAGCGGCAGCGGTGGAAAGCGACCGGCAACGGCGACGGGTGGGCGGCCAGCTAATAGTAAGGGCAAGCGATAAGAAGATTTTTATTTTTAATTTCTATTCCAGAAAATAGAAAAGTAGAAAATCTTTATTTCTGATTTCTGTTCCAAACCTATTTCTGGAGTATAAATTTGTTTCAGAAATAGAAAAATGAAATTGCGTTACCAAATAGATTTCTGTTCCAAACCTGTTCTCAAGAACTAAAAAAATAAAAAACAAAGAAATAGAATAGTTATCATTAGGGGTGAGCGGCTGGAACCTATCCTCGGGTACAAGTTCCTCATTTTTTGGAACTTGGAACCTACCCATCGGAACTTGAAACCTGGAACCTACCCTATCACAGGTTTCAGGATCTAACAGGTTCTTTTTTTATTTATTTCATTTTTAGTTAAATAAAACGAAAATGAACGCAATAATACTGAACAAGCTTGTCATTCACCAAAGAGAATACAAAAGACTAGTTTTCCTGGTATTACGGTTCAAATAAATACAATCAAAATAAGAAGTCATTGCGTGAATCGATACTGAGGGTAAGCGGTTCCATGTTTCATATAGGTTCAATCTGGAACCTACGTATGAGAATAGGGTCATCATTCTTTGGAACCTGAAACATACCTTATCACAAGTTCGAGGGTCTACGTAGTATTATTAATTGAACAATTACAATGAATCATTACTTTTAATGACCAACACTTATTGCTATGATCCATTGACCGCAACTTATATTTAAACACACAAAGATACGAAACATTAACAAGTCATAAAATGAAAGCTCAGATTAGCGATTACAGATTATACACTCATCATCTAATGCAATGAAATATCACAGGATCACGTGAAAATATAGACAAAGAAAAACATAAAACAAAACTTTTTTTAAGTTCTAGGTTCTAGATTTCACTTACCTAGAATCTAGAACCTATCCGTCGAAATAGGTTTCTCAATTTTTGAAACCTGAAATCTACCCTGCATACTTTGGAACTTGAAACCTATAGGTTCTCCCCGGTCAGATTTTTAGGTTCTCAAGATAAACTGAAATCATACTCATTCCTAATTATCATGCGCGCCCATCGCGCTTGACCGGGGGAGTCCCAGAATCTGTTTGCGGTGCTTGGACAAATTACCGAGAGAGGACGCTGATGAAAGACGCTCCAGGCGCGCTTCGTCTACACCTCCCCGTCCCCGTTGCCGTACCGCCAAAGCAGCGAGTTTCACAAAAAAACTGTCGCGGCACGTGCCGGCCTGGCCTGCGCCTGCACCACCGTCGTGGGCCCCACCCCCAAAAAAAAAAAGAGCACAAAATAAAATTTAAAAAAAAAAAATAGAGAGAGAGTGCACTGAGGAGGGGAAATCGAGATCCCAAAGCGAGACCATTTCCATATCATGTGGCCGGATGATACGTTCAACCCCCCCTCCCCACCCCCCCAATCCATCCAAACCGTTAGATCCCCCGAACTCCAATCGGACGGCCCACATCAAACTTCCCTCCCCCCGTCCCCCTCCCCCATAAATTCTCTCTCCTAAACCAGGTCCAAATTTCAAAGCCCCCCCACCCCCCCGGTCTCTCTCTCTCTCTCTAAAAGCGCAGGCTAACATTTTTCGTTACACGGCCTCGGCCTCTCCCACACACAGGCAGCGAACTCCATCGCCACACTTATCTTCCAAGTCACTCCTCTCTGCTTATCCTGCGCACCCCCACACCACCCGCGATGATGTCGCCGGCGGCCCCGTCGTCCAGTACCGCCGTCCTCCTCATCAGAATCTCCCGCTACCGGCGGCACTGAAGAAGCAAAACCCGAAACTAACCGAGATCGAGCCCCCGGCCCCGCCCCCGACGGCTGGGGATTTTTTGAATTGGATTTTTAGCAGCTCCCGCGAGCTCCGGCAATGGAGGGACCGAAGAGCCAGTCGTCGGCCGTGCTCACCAGATCGAAGTCGTCCCTCCTCCGCTCCTCCCCGACCGTCCGGTCCTCCATCCACAGCCTCTCCTCCGTCGCCGAGGACGACTTGCTCCCTTCTCACCACCAGCCCCAGCACCAGCCGCAGCCGCAGCCGCAGCGCGACTCGGTCGACGAGGAGAAGGCGAGGAGGCGGGCCCCACGCCGGCCCGGCCCGACCGGATCGAGCCGGTTCGGGCCGGCCCTCGCCCTGGCCTCCCTGGCCTTCTCCACCGTCTTCTTCGTCTGCTTCTTCAGTTCCAGGAGGGACGCGGCCCCGGCGACGACGGCCTCCGAGAACCTCCTCCTGGCCCTCATCTTCGTCGCCGTCGCGCTCTTCTTCGTCTCCAGGAACAAGCCCCTCATCGAGCGCAACCTGTCGACGATCAAGCACCTGTACAGCCTCAACGCCAAGAGGCTAGGGTTCGCGCGGGGCAACGGGAGGGGCGTGCAGTGGTTCATCGGCGGCGACTCGAGCGCCGGCGACGCCAAGGCCGCGATCAGGGAGAAGAAGAAGATAATCCGCGAGGGAGTGGAGTTCTACAGCAATGGGGATTACTACGAGGGCGAGTTCCACAAGGGGAGGTGCAATGGGAGCGGCGTGTACAATTACTTCGTCAACGGGCGATACGAAGGGGATTGGATCGACGGCAAGTACGATGGGTACGGGATCGAGAGCTGGGCTCGCGGTAGCCGCTACCGCGGGCAGTACCGGAACGGGCTGAGGCACGGGTTCGGCGTGTATAGGTTTTACACGGGGGATTCGTATGCCGGAGAGTGGTGTAATGGGCAGAGCCATGGGGTTGGGGTGCAGAGTTGTGCTGATGGGAGCTGCTATGTTGGGGAATTCAAGTGTGGGGTCAAGCATGGACTTGGGTGTTACTATTTCAGGTGAAGATTTTCTTCATTGTTCTGTGTTGTGTCTGTACATATGTCTTCTTGCCTCTGATTTAGGTGTGATCATGTTGATTTTTTTTGTTGGGTTCAGTCTCCTTTGATCGTAGAGATAGGACATGAAAATTTGATTTCGATTTCTGTCTCTGTAGCTGTGCGACGGGTGGTATGCTTAATTTGCTGTCTTGATCGAAGTAGATAGGTTCTCTCGTGATCAGGAAGTTGGTGGGTGATCGTTTTTTGTGCTGTAATATCCAAGTCTGGAGTTTTCATACAATGGATTCAACCTTAGATTGCTTGTGTCCTCAACGATTTTGGATATGATTTCTCAAGATTATACAAGAGTGGACGTTCATCTTCATTTGCTCTGGTTGATGATCTACACACAAATGCTGGGAGTTGTGTTCATTTTTCAGCTTAGAAGATCTGATGAGTTTTGAGACCATAACTATTGGGCTAATGATTCTAGAGTATCTTCTGCTCTGGTGCTTATGCCCTGGTTTTTCTTGTGTTAATGATTTGCTGTTGTTATAGGAATGGAGACAGATATGCTGGTGAATATTTTGGCGATAAAATTCATGGATTCGGTGTCTACCATTTTGCCAATGGCCATTGCTACGAGGGTTCTTGGCACGAAGGTTCGAAGCAAGGCTATGGAATGTACACTTTCCGAAATGGTTATTCGAAATGCGGTGAATGGGACTCTGGTTCCCTCAAGAGCCCTTTACCCCCACTGACTGACACAGTTCTTCGAGCAATTCAGGTACTTCAGCTTTCAATCGTTATCTCTGGGCAATTCTGATTACTAGATTCATGTGAAATTATAGCAGAATAGATGGTCAGTTATGTGACCTGATGAATACTCCAACAGGTGAGCTTCGTCGATATTTTTGTTGTTTTTTTTTTGGTTTTTTGGGCAACGGACCTAAGGGGATCCTATATCTTTTAACTTTCTGTTGTCACATTCATGTTTTGTTAATTCGCAGTTGCGTGGATGTTTGACTCACTTTCTTGCCTTCTAAATGCAGGCTGCCAGAAAGGGAGCTGAAAATGCAATTCACCTCCGCCGAGTGGACGAACAGGTGAACAAGGCCATCTTGGCTGCGAGTAGAGCTGCGACCGCTGCTAGAGTTGCCGCTGTGAAAGCTGTTCAGAACCGGATGGACGGCAAGTTTTGTGACATAGAAGCTTAACTGAGGGTGGCTTTTAAGGTTTTGTCTGAAAGTGTACATTTGACTAATCTTTATGATCACGGAAGTCGTCGCCCCGGCAAGCACAAGCTCGTCGGAGGTTGAGATCTCCTCTTTTCTATTGATCACAAGAATGTAACTTGTACATAAGCGATGTGTATCAATGAAATGAGGAATTTGTTTTTTCTTGAAGAACTTTTTTAAAATTATGTTCCTTCTCTTCAAAGGGTTGATGATCTACTCTTGTGGGGTTGACTCAGGATGCCCCATTATTATGTTCTCTTGCAATAATGAGATCATGGGCTTGATCCCAACTTGTCTTTTTCACCATTATCTTCGACAGACAAACAAAGGACCTGGGAAAATCTTATCTCCGACGATTGCTTCTTGCTCAAACCTACTCTCTGTTTGGCTCTTAAAAGAAATCTGTTCTTTTAATTTGCTTTTCAATGAGAAATCAGAAAGGGTCTTTGAGGGTGCGTTTGGTAACTTGACAAATAGTGATTGATTCTATTCTTTTATTTTCAAAAATAAAAAAAGAACAGAAATTCGTTTGGTAAATTTTTTGTTCCTGGGCACAAATTTATTTTCAGAATCAGTTTTGAAACAAAATAAAAAAACAAAACAAGAATCAGAAATAAAAGAGAGTTTTTTTTTTTTTCTTCTTTCCTTCCTGGCTGTGGCTGGTTCTTCTTTACTGCCAGGGCCGGCGAGGGTGTCGCGGCCCTTGCAGCTTGGGCGAGGGTGGCCCTCGTTGGCCTTTTCCAGCCCTCACCGAGGAGGGCGAGGGCCGCCGTCGAGGCTCCTGGCCTAGGCAAGGGCCGGACCCTCGCCGCCGCCCTCGCCCAAGCTGCGAGGGTCCAGCCCTCTCTCTCTCCGGCCGACCGGCCATGACCGACGACCCAACCACGGCCAAGAAGAAGAAAGAAAAAAAAAGAAAAGAAAAGAAAATATTAAAAAATTAAAAATATTATTAATAAAAAGAAAATTTGGGAAGTTATCAAACGCATTTCTGTTTTTTTTCTATTTCAGAAATGGAAAGAAATTATTTTCAGAAACAAAATAAAAAATAATCATTTATAAATAAAAATTATTTTCGAAAATAAAATGATTACCAAATACGTTAGGAAATTTCTTTATTTGAGCAAAAGGGCTGATGGCTCCACTCGTTGCAGTTCCATGTGACAGAATATTTGACATGAAGAAACATGGAAGATCTGGCATCACAGCTCTGTCAAATCTCAGAATAAACTATCGAAATTTGTCCAAAGATTCCCATCAGAAGATGAGGCTTTTTTCAATCCAAGCACACACTTCCTCGAGGTTCATGTAGGCCGGGCTCTTTTCGCAAATTCAATTCAAGGAAGCGACAAATCGAGAGGGGATTTAGATTGGAACGAAGAATCTCACATCAAGTCTTGATGTGCTTTGTATATCGATTTCCTCATTAGAAACAAAAAAAACAAAAAGAAAGAAAGAGGAAATGGGTGCGTGAGTCATGTGCCCCCCTGCTACTTGTTGTAGGATAATGTGGGGGGCATCGAGAGTTTTTCTAAATCATACAGCAGCACATGATTGTGGGTGGTGGTGGTGGCGGTGGCGGCGATGGTGGTAGGGCTCTAACTTTCTTTTGTCTAGGGTGAAAGGACCAAAACTCTTTACACTACTTTTCCATGCAATGTTCTATGTAGGGAGAGAGATCTACTCTATACATATAAAAATCACCCATCAAAAGCAAGTAGCTCTCTCTGTTTCCAGCTTTAAAATCTGCGAAAGATTCTTCCTTCTTTCCTAAATACCCAGATTCAAACTTTTCCTCAGCTTCAAAACCCAACCACTCCCCCATTATGCATTTTGTTCTGTCTTGTTGAGATTTGTTTAGGTTTCCGAACCACATGTGCCACGAGATAGATGGTCATCCATTGCTTTTGACCAAATCCTAATTCCAATGTGGTTTTCAATTTTTTTTCAAATAAAAGCGAGGCTTGGTAAATGGTGGGGGGCCCTACGCTAATCTAAGGTAAACCCTCCATTAAAAGGTTGAATATGCACGGAAGTGCGATTCGTCAATCGTTTATAAAATATACTAGCGCGCATAAAAAGGTGTCTCTAGCAATCGATGTTATACTCGTTTCATTAAGATGATGTCGGCTCATGTGTCCCACGACTATGACTAAAACAACACATGAAATGATGTATGTAGCACCATGAGGATGGACATAAATGATAAAAAAATGTACCATTTCTATTGTTGTTTTCTAGAAGGGCGACTAGAGTTAACGCATACAAATTGATGCATATGGCTTGTGTTATCTCGTCATTGGGGGATTCAAATACGTGGGTCTGCACCCGAGCAATCTGAACATAATGTACGATTTTATATATATATAAAATGTGTTCTCTTAGGATGTGTTTCATGCATCTACTTCACTTTGCTAATTACAATGTCCTGGGAAAATCCCCAAAGCATGTGCGTTGAATCCCAAGCTTCCAGGCGATGCTTCAGGGTTTTAACGTACTTGAACTTTGTTTCTCTCTTTCTTGTACAAATTGATCAGAGGCAAAAGACCCCTTTTATTTATTATGCCACTTACCACTTCCTTGACAACTGTTCCTTGAATGTTAAGAACAGGAAAAAAATTTTATCCTCGTTGATTATGTCCCGGCCTCTTTCACATGTTCCTGTTGTAACTTGAGCACGCACAGATTTTCATTTGCCAAGTAATATCAGATTTCGTTTGGAGCATTTTTCCGACCTTAAGACACAAGGGCGCCACGATAAATCATCAGTCAGCCATGACCGGGGCGATGGAAAAATGGACTCGATTCGAGAGATCTTTATAAGGTGATTGCCCCAAAATCTTATTGACCATGTTTCGAACCCAATTCAAGAGTTCCAACCCATCATTTCAGCAAACCCACCCCTGTAATTGCAAGAGATTTGGTGCAGATCTTGTTATACAAAATGGGTCCACGGCGCTTGGTGGTGAAAAGTCAAGCTGTAGACCTGCTAATGAGTGAGTAGCTCCTGGATGCAGTGTGCTCTTTTTCTCGTTTTTCCCTTTCATATACCTGCAATTGGTCATGCTCTAGCTTGCTCCCCATGGCTTTATTTCAGATTTGGGTATGATAATGGCACATGAAGCAGCATGAAAATGGTGGCATTATTGCGCAAACTGACAATCGAGGTTGCTGTTCGACAGAGAGACAGAGAGAGAATTGAATAAGAGAACCCCAAAATGGACTAACTTTAGGTTTAGCAGTTTAACTGCACCATTATTAAAGTAGGCGTTGATTTCTACAATGAAACAGTAGATTATGGCAATCAATGATGTTACTGTTCCACAGTCAGCCGAGTACAGCATAATTATGCTTAGGGGTCTAAAGGCCATGGTTTCTCTCTTTTTACAAAAAAAAAAGATATACATTTATATAGAATAATATTAATTAGTGCATTATTCATGGAAAAAAATGAGGAAATAATTTAAAAAAAAAGGAAAAGAGGACATTCTTGGGGAAAATTAACCATTCGGTCCTACACTTTCTAATCTTGCCAATTTCATCCTAAATTTTTGTGCGAATTCTCAATGTAGTCCTTCCGATCACATTTTACCGGAAATCGATGACATAGCTGTCTAATAATCATCGGCCGTCCTACGTGGCATGCTGCTACGTTAGTAATTTTCGGCGAAAATTGGCCGGAATGGCTACATTGAAATTTCGTGCAAAAGTTTATAACTAAATTAGCAAAATTGAAAAATTCAGGACTGAATTTGCATCCGTACAATAGATTTATGACTGATTGGACAATTTATCAAACATTCTTGTGTATTTGTTCAATGTATTCCCCATGCGTTGATCTCGTCATCAATTCATAAAATTTATCCTAAATATAAAACTTAGGGATAAGTGCACTAGAAAGTACAATCGAATCCTAAAACTTTTAAAAGTGTAATCAAATTCTAAAAACTTATCGTGAAAGTGCAATCGAATCATAAAACTTTCAAAAAATGTGATTAAGTTTTAAAACTTTCAAAAAGTGTGATTAAGTTTTAAAACTTGTCACAAACGTGCAATTGAGTCCTAAAAATTTCGAAAAGTACAATTAATAGAATGACTCGATTGTATTTTCACGACAAGTTTTAATACTTAATTGCACTTTTTGAAAATTTTACGACTCGATTGCACTTTCGTAACAAGTTTTAGGATTCAATTGTACTTTTTTTAAAAAAAATTATGACTTAATTATACTTTCATGACGAGTTTTAGGATTTTCGATACACTTATCCCTAGAACTTATTAAGAATGATCAATTGCGAAACAACTTCAAACGGTTCATGCCTTCGGTTGATTTTCGATACGCTTATCCTTAAGCTATTTCGCGTCCCGTTTTCGTGTTCCCGATGATGTGGTTGGGACTTTGAAATAAATGTTTGGGTGACTAATCCGACCAAGGAACTGAATGCAAACCCGCGAACCCCTAAAGCGACGGCGACGGCGATGGCCATAGCATTCGAAATTTCAACAGGATGCGACGACCGTTCGTTCTTCGTGGTGTCGCTCTCGGACTATTTCCTTCGTTGTTTTGTCCCTTTTGTGGGTGTCTTTTTCATCAAGCAAAATTGTTAGTCACCTAATCCCCATCTTCTCCTTTTGACTTTCGACGCACGTTCCGTGTTCTTTCCGGCCATTTATATTTGAAGGTGGGGCACCGGAGATTGACTTCTTGCCCATGTCCATTCAAACCCTCCTTTGCCAATGCTAGGCTCTCCCTTCGTTTCAAATTTTGAACCTCTAACTACGGTGCAAGACTTTTGTTTCTACCCAATAGACACTTCAATATGACTAAGAAGTATATCGAGCATATGCTAAAAGTTAGCTTTAGATTTACTTGAAATGTGCAGAAATGAGTCAAATTGATGTGACTAGTCTTCCGTGCTCGTGGAATTCATACAATCTATGTTTATCTTTAGATTTTCTTTTCTGTTTTTTCGGCGTAACGATAGGTAATATCTCGAGTTAGTTCCGTGCACCAAATCGAGCCCATCTAATGTGTCGAATTAGTGAGGCCTTTTGGGACAATTCCTTACGAGCCCCGTAGCAAAATCCCTTTCGATGAATGACTAAGATGCGACGTTTTTTCGTTATTCGGAATTTAATTTGGTCGAAGGACTAAAGCTTTGTG